TAGAATAGAATAGAATAGAATAGAATAGAATAGAATAGAATAGAATAGAATAGAATAGAATAGAATAGAATACCATTATTGTCATTGCATTCTACAAATACAATGAAATTTGAAAGCTACTCCAGCACAGTGTCCCAAACACCACATCACAATAACGCTACAGAGTATTTAAAAATTAAAATAATTAAAATAATAATTAAAAACCTAGTCTAAAACCTATCTAAAACATATAGTAAGTTAGATAGTTTAAAAATGCCACTATATGCATAGGGCTAAATTGCATATGCATTGTTTGATTCAAGACAATTATTGCCTTGGAAAAGAAACTGTTTCTCAGTCTATTAGTCCTCATTTTAATCTATAACGTCTCCCTGATGATAACAATTCAAAATATGAATGACCAGGATTAGAACGGTCTGTGAAGATTTTTAGTGCTCTAGAGAGGAGTCTGGTCTTCGCAATCTCTTCCAAAGAAGAAAGAGAACAACTGATGATTTTTTGTGCTGTGTTTATAACCCTCTGGAGCATCTTCTTATCCACTGCAGAGCATCCAGCATACCACACCGTTACATAGTATGCCAAAATGCTCTTGATGGTAGAACGGTAAAAAGTAACCAGCAACTTCTCACCCAGACCACTCTTTTTCAGCAGCCTCAAAAAGTGCAGGCGCTGTTGGGCCTTCTTTGCAGTGGCTATAGTGTGGACCGACCAAGTAAGGTTGTCAGAAATATGAGTTCCTAGAAATTTAAAACTATGAACTCTTTCCACACAGTCTCCATTGATATATAGTGGGAGAGGCTCTGCTTTGCATCTTCTGAAGTCTATAATCAATACTTTGGTCTTTTTGATGTTCAGGGCGAGGTGATGACTCTTGCACCACAAGACCAATCTGAGAACCTCTGACCTATAGGCCATCTCGTCTTCTCCTGATATGAGTCCCACCAACATGGTGTCATCTGCAAATTTTATTATAGAGTTAATGGGACAAGAGGGAGTGCAGTCGTAGGTGTAGAGTGAATACAAAAGGGGGCTCAGCACACAACCCTGTGGAGAGCCAGTGCTGAGAGCAAGAGTGGAGGAAAAATAGCTGCCAATCCTAACAGTTTGGGGTCTGTTAGTAAGAAAGTCCTTTATGCAACAGCAGATGTGAGAGGAGAGGCCCATTTGTAGCAACTTCTTTATCAGTATATCCAGAATGATGGTCTTTAAAGCCGAGCTGTAATCAACAAAAAGCATCCTTACATAGCTCCCTCTATGCTCCAGATGGTTCAGTGCAACGTGGAGAGCCATGGCAATAGCATCCTCTGTGGATCTGTTATTCCGAAAGGCAAACTGGTATGGGTCAAGGGTTGATGGGAGGAAATCCTGCATATATTTTAAGACCAGTCTTTCAAAACACCTCATAATTATGGGTGTGAGAGCTACTGGTCTATAGTCATTTAAAGTATCAGGAGAGGGCTTTTGGGGAACTGGAATAATAATGGAAGCTTTGAGACAAGATGGAACAATGGCTTGTGTAAGAGAAAGGTTAAAAATACTTGTAAACACACCTGCGAGCTGGTCAGCACATGCTTTGAGTACCTTCCCAGGTATCCCATCAGGGCCAGCAGCCCTTTTCACATTCACTGCTCTAAGCACCTGCTTCACATCATACCCTTGTACTGTGAACAGTTGAGTACCAGTGGTTTGTAGAGGCAGTGTGTTCGAAGACCTATTCAGTTCGAATCGGGCAAAGAAGCAGTTCAGTTCTTCTGCCAGTGATGTGTCCTTATTGATCGATGTGGGGTTGCTGCCCCTGTAATTAGTGATGCATTTAAATCCCTGCCAAGCCCGTCGTGGATCATTATTTAAGAAGTAGTCCTCAATCTTCCTTTTATAGTCCTTTTTTGCCTCCTTGATGCCCCGCCTCAGTTCCGCTCTTGCCTTGTTATACCAAACCCTGTCCTCAGACCTAAATGCCATATCATGTGTCTTGAGAAGTAATTGCACGTCCTTGTTCATCCAGGGCTTCTGGTTTGGAAAAATCCAGATGCGCTTATTCACAGTAAGCATATCCACACAGGTCAAGATGTAAAACAGTACAGTTTTTGTATATTCCTCCAAATCCTCTTGTTCAAATAAATTCCAATTAGTATTTGAGAAACAATCCTGCAGCTGATCAAGTACTCCCTCCAGCCAGATCTTGATGAGTTTGATTTCAGGCTTAGTTTTCCTTCTGAGGGGGGTGTATGCTGGTATAAGGAACAGTGATAAATGATCTGAAAATTCCAGATGTGGAAGGGACACTGCTTTATATGCATAAAACTTACGACCACAATTGAACCCAAAATTTTCTGTCATTAATTGAGACACTTATTAAGTGAATTTTGCCCCATTTCATGACTTTTCTTGCCACAGTTGGTAAGTGAATCATTGCAATTGTTTAAGTTAGTAACGCAATTGTTAAGTGAATTTGGCTTCTCCAAATTGTCTTGGCTTGTCAGAAGGTCGCAAAAGATGGTTTCATGATCCCAGGATACTGCAACAGTCAGAAATATGAGTCAGTTGCCAAGGGTCTGAATTTTGATCACTTAACCATGGAGATATTGCAACTGCCATAAATGTGAAGAATAGTCATGTCACTTTTTTCAGTGCCGTTGTAATTTCCAGCAGTTACTAAATAAACTGTTGTTAGTTGAGGTCTACTTGTACAAGTTATGAAAGGAATCTCATTGGATTTTATTTTATGTGATTAAATGTCTTGCTAATCAAGGCTTCCTTATATTAAGAAAATAACTTACCGTATATACTCGAGTACAAGTCGACCCGAATATAAGTCGAGGCACCTAATTTTGCCACAAAAAACTGGGAAAACTTATTGACTCGAGTATAAGCCGAGTTTTTCAGCACATTTTTCAGCAAAACCGACATCTAAGTACCGGTAGAGAGTATGATTGAATCAGTACCACAAAACAATAACTAATTATACAATTATTGAAAACTTACGGCACCCCTCCCCAGTCAGCTCAGACCAAATTAGCATAGGAATTCTCTTTGATTTCTTCAGATTAAGAATTGCTTTTAAATACTGCATATTTGGCTTTTTTCTTTATGTCAAAAAAATATCAGTATGGAAATTTTAAATAAAAATGGGGGCATAATGATTCATTGTGATGAACAATAACTGTTTCCTTAAATAGTGTTAATATATAGTAACCTATATTTATGTAGTGAAAGATCTAATTATAATAGAGGATAAAATAAATAAAATACGTTGGATATAAAAGTATTGATAAGATTTAGAAAGGCCTTTGAAGCAAGATTGATGATAGGTAAGCATGAGAACCAAGCTACAGTAAATTAGCCAACTAAACTGAGTTGTGCCAATTGGAGTATTTCTAGATATTGCCTAGAAACTCTTAACCTCGTTGTCCAAAATAACCAGTATATTTACATTTACAGTGCATTTACCCTTTTCATTTTATTTTGATTTTCTCTTTGTGTTTTTGTTTTTGTCATAAGGGCATTGTTTTAAAAAACCAATCACATGGGATTAAGATTTTAGAGATATCACTCTAAAATCTTACAAATCAATCTTGAAGACTTTCCATTGACCAAAGTAGCTTGAAAGACTGAGATTGTTGTTTTGTGTTGGTTGTAAAATTGTTTTGCTGCAGTTGATAATCTATTATAATATTTGTTCTTAGAAAACAAAGAGAAGGGCAGAAGATTGATAGTAAGAAAATGTGATGACTTGCCAGAGACTTAAACATAAGGAAATAACATATAGAGCACAATTTCTTGGCTTTTCTAATATTCTTTGATTTCCTGTGTGTTGAACTCAACCTTTGTTCCCTTAAATAAGACTTATCAACCAGCAGTTAAAATAATAAATTTGAATTGGACAGAAAATCCTCAAGGCTTTTGAAATCAGATAAATTGTGTAGAAAAATCAGACAAGTGAGTCCTGATGGGACAAAGTTTATTAATTAAAGGTAATCAGTGGAACAGAAATAGCCTGACAACAAATAATGTTTAAAATAAAGAGAATACTTTGTCTCCAACTCACTTGACTGTTATACTGGTATATGAATTTTTCTAGAAAATGAACCAAGTACAGTGATGAATAAACATAAAGATTTTCCCTGAGAAACGAACAAGTAAGGAAGGTGGTGTCACAGACATTTTTAATATCAATAGTTCTAGATTAACAGTTGGCTTTTCCTTTAAATTTCTCACCTCTGTCTTGGGTATCTCATTTATTTTGTCAAACCTCAGCTTTTCCAGTCTACCTTTTCATCTTGATTGTTTCACTCTTCCTTCATGAATTTGTTTGGCAATTTGATCCTCATTTATTCTCTCTGAAACAGCATGTTTACTAGGAAAGACACTTCATTGTTGTAAGGCAACAGAATTTTACAAGGCTGGCCACTTTCTATCCATCATATGGTAAACAAAATCAAGGTGGGGTTTTGAGTGACTTTCTCAGATATACTTTGACCTCTGGACTGCATAATAATCTTGTTCAAATCTCAGCTTCTTTCCTTAGTGACACATTCCTTCCTTCCTCAAGGACAACTATAAACCTTCACTGTTAGAATCACTCTCAATGGCTACAGATTTCCTCCTGTCTGTTTCACTTACACATGGGCCTGGCATCTTAACAAAGTCAATGCATACATCTGGCAGAGTAGACTCTGATGGAGTTGGAAAGTTCTTCCCTTCCCCTCCCAACTCCAGAGAACCTAACCCCCTTTTAAAAGTGTCTCTGTTCTAGAACTCATTGTCTGTTGATAGTAACTGCAATTAACAGAAGCACTACCCCAAGTATTGTGTAAGAATTTCATAAGGAACTGGAATACCGAATGTGGAGTATGAACATCTATTGTCGTCTCCCTCTATTTTGCTGATTTGGGACAGCCTTTCCAGTGAATGACACACTCATACATTTTGCTCTATGTTTAGAATCCAGAATTCATTCCACTTCATCTTTCTCTTATCCATTCCAGGAACAGGCAAAACTTAGTGGAAAGCCTGTTGAGGTAATTCCCTGTTAGGAGAAAGAGTGCATACAGGGAGACGTATTGGGAGTAGTGTTTGAATAATACACACACACAGCACACAGATACACTGTACAGTAAATGTAGGCTTTTACTTCCAGAAACGTTTAAGCAAAGTTCAAACACAGTCCAAAGTCATTCACAGGTTAAATCAGTCAGTTTTCAGTCCAGGGATAATCCAATAACAAAGTCCAGTGTCAAAAACAGTTCAGTATCAGATTTACATCAAATCCAGGAATAGCAGTCAATTAGGAGGAACGGCAAAACTCTGCAACAGAAGGAAACAGAGATTCACTCACTTCTGAAACTAAGACTAAGACAACCCAGGTTTCTGGCTCCATCTTATGGCTGTTTGAGAAACCACACCCAACTACAGTTTTTGCATTTCCTTAAAGAGACAGTATTAAAATATCTATCCTGGTTTATATATTTCCAATCCAAACACCTGTTAGGTGACTTATATTCCTAACAAAGCCACACCAAATCTCTCACAAATGTCTTCTTGCCTTTGTGCATCTGTGGCATGCTTTTATGCAACCTTGACCAAGTTTAATTGTTCTTTTAAAGGAACTGATAGGAATGAGGAAAGGAGGTGGAGTTCTGGAAGGCAAGATGTCCAGTAGCTATAAATTCCATAAAGGAATATATCAAAGCTGTTATAGGCAAATTCTGGAAGAGACAACAATTCAGATCAATTGGCCTACTGATAAAGGACATGGCACCTCAAATATTATTCTAGTAGTTGAGTGGGGTTTGCTCTCAATTTATATTCTTGTGGCTTGCCCTGTCAGTGTTGGTGGGAATGGTCTTGGAGGTTCTTTGGTGGGATGTTTACTGTTAGCTTGTTTGGCAGTTCCTTGATTGGGGTATAGGTTACTTCTTGATTGTTGATCTGATATTAAACTTGGTGTTCATCTATACTCAAATAGTTGTTGATTACTGGTAGAGAGGTGTTTCAGTCTTATGGTCCCCTTTTCGGTTTCTTGATTGTCTCCTTTGCACAGTATGTAGATGTTTATGCCTATGTGTCTGTTGATAGCCAATTTGTCAGATTGCCAGGCTTCAAGTGTTTTTGGACGTGTCTTGGTCTAGGATGGTCATGGTTTCCCAATTGAAACTATGGTTAAGTTCTTGTTTGGGGAATCAATCTAAGACCTTTCTGGCATGAGTGTCATGGAAAGATAGGCTTTCTGAAAAAAAGAATCAGGATATAGTCAAGTACATCACTTCATCCAAGTTATAAGCAAAAATTTCCTTCATGAACCTAGAGAAGATTGCAGCACAATTAGGCTAAATAGTATTTCCATATATTAAAATTTCCATGCTTGGTATCAAAAGCTGTTAAATACTTGTGACCCCCTTTCATTCATTCATTTAATTTATGTGCTTCTCAAATCTAACTTAGTGAAAATGGATGCACTCAAGCAGATCTGAAATAAGGAGGAGTGGTATTGGTATATTTCTGAAAAGCTGTAAACGTTTCAAATAAAAATCTAATAGGGCAATTCACCCTCATTAATGAAATATTATATTGGTAACCTTCCTCTTCTTTCCCACCGCTTTTTCCATATTTTTTTCCTGCTGTGTAGGAGTACCCAATATAACATTAAGAAGGATTGATCGTATAAGTGTGATACTATTTTAATATGTGTGTTACTATTTAAATTCTGAATACTAATTTTATACAAAATGATGCTACATTTTATGCAACGTGGAGGATTTTTTCTTTGTCATAGAGGAATGTGAAAACGATGACATGTAATACACAGAGTCACAGACATACACATCAGATGCAAAAACTATTTGTAATGAAGTTTTCAAATGCTATTTGTGACTTTGGGGGAACTGACATTTAAAAAACAATAGTTTTCTTCTATCTTTATCTGGACTAGACATTAAATTAGAAGGATCTGCTGTGCAAGAACAAAAATATGCTTTTATATAGACATCTAATCTATGCATGTTTTAAAATTAACTACGTTTCATGGGCTCTATATGCAATTTTAAAACAAAATGGAGAGTGTTCCTGATAAATAAATATAATGATCTCTCTCTCTCGTTTATTTTTTATGCTCACTATATAATGGAGCTATAGAGCTTTTCTGTTTTGCAGCTTTGTAACAACAATTCTATGCTTTCCATATGTTGTTCTAATACTCGCCTTTGTGCCTTAGAATTGTTTATGTTGTCATCTGTTTCTATTTGCTCTGCACCCCTTCCAGCTGGCAGGGTTTATTTGATAACCCTTTGAGACTCTGTTGCCTGGGTTTGATTGGTGGTGACTGTCCATTCTGTGATGAGGTTCCTCTGAAGAAAGGCAAGCTATAGTTGCCTGCCTTTGATTGGCTGCTCCTCTGTTTCCCTCCCCTTCTAGGGCACACACCACCGCAGGGTTTGTTCGGAGACCTAAAACAGCCTCGTAGGCATCCATTCATGAATCTGTGACGTTAGTAGCTTCTGTATTTGCAGTGGGGTTGCAGGATTGTGTGGGTGGAATTTCCTTTCTGTCTTTTATTGAGCAGGTTTGTCTTTTGCCAACTCTCCATAAAATGAGGATATGGAGCATAGTTGTATAATGTTCCTGTCGTTGTAAGTATATTGGTTAAAATCTGTATTGCTTCAAGGTCTGTAGTTGCAGAAGGACCAATATTATGTTTTACTCGTTCATTTCAAAAGATGGGATAGATTTGTCTGTTGGTACAGTAGAAAAAATGCTGGAAGACATAAAAGCTAAGAATATAGTCTGTATTTTACTTCTCTGTGGAGCTTGTATAGATATATTGAATTTGCAATTTGGCACATTATGCATAGATCTTTATCCATTTCTAAAACAGAACAGAATGAATTTTAATAATTAATTAAAATGCAGGGTTTCAAGAGAATATCAAGAGAAATAACTGCAATTGATTTCAGAACAGAGGCTACCCCCCTCTCTTTCCTTTGTGAGGATGTAATCTGATTGTCTGGTGAAATGGCTTCAGAACCCTTTTAATACAGTTTAAAATCTAACATTATTTACAGTATGTTGTGGATGGAGGGAAAAAGCATGCTACCCAGTTTAACTCTGAGTTACACATTTATTTCTTAAGATGTTTCATTTCTATAAACAAACTGATTTTTAACTATTTTGGTTAATGGCTAGATTCTTTCATTCATATGTAAGCAGCTGGTTTTAACAGCAGATATTTTGCATTACACCATTAGCTTTAAAAAAAATGAATTCTAAATCTCAATATGTTGTCAGTTCCCACTGTTTTCATAGGTTCTAGCATTGTAATTCATATATAATTCCAATCTGTTTCTATTTATTGATGCTCCGTATGTGGTGCTCCTTCTGGGAATTGCTTGCAGTAGGAGCTACTCAAGTCAGTAAAAATTCATTGTGAATAATCCCTGAAAAGAAGGGGCCATCCATTGGCAATCCTTGAAGATTATGCTCCAAAGTACTGTATAGATACTGTATAGAAATGGAAGAAGCAATGTCAGATAATTACTTTAAAGGGAACAATTCTAGCTGCTCTTTGTCCTTAAGTATTTTCCTGCATTTATTGCTCTGATTGGAAATATTAGTAAGACTGTCTTTTCAATACTGTATCTAGAACAGAAGGCAACAATATAAAAACTAATCGTTTGCAGTATTTGGAGAAATTAGCTTTTCTTCAAGTTGAGGCATGTTCTCCTGAACACCTGATATTACTGTTTCTTTCTTCCACCCTAGTTGGTTAATATGCACTTACTCAGCATACTATGCTGTGAGGAACTGATGTGAAATGCTATCTCAAATGTTAGTTGTCATAAAATTAATTTAAATGATTTAATTTGATGGAAAACATATTTTAATGTTAAATGTTAGTTTTAGGCTAGAACTAGTTTCTGCAACTATAATAATAGCTGATCATAAAGAGGATACTTTTGAAACTTGATTTAGTTTCAAAACTTAAACCCTGTAAATTGGATCAAACTAAGATTATCATTATTTATTTATTAAACTGTTTATTACCTACCACAATCTAAGGACTCTCAATAGTTCCTATGATATCGACAATTAATTAAAATCCATGATACATTTAAAAATCAAAATCATAAATCAAGAATCATCTTAACAATCACAAAAACAAAACAGGCAAAGAATAAATATAAGAATACAAGATGGCAAAAGTCATAAACTCAGCTGAAGTCTTTAACATTCTTCTAAAAGATGTAAAGTCTTATCTTCTTGGGAAGAGTATATGAAACATGCCCTGTCATACATAAATGGTACACTAGCCAGATGCCACTTTTAAAATATTGGCAGTAACCATACAAAACTAAGTTAGGATAGTTTAGTTCATTTTCTAACCTGCTGATAATTGAATGGGTTTGTAGTAGAAAGCCAAGCAAATTTGTAAATAAATTAAATAATTGCTTATTTTAAAAAACCCTTAATTCTAAATCTTAAATCTGTGGGCAATTCAAAAGATGCATGTTCTAAGCATATTCTTTAGTACCTCACTGTAACACAAAGTTATTTCCTACACATGTTACTTACACTGTGCTGCCTTGCTTCTGGGTTCCCGTTTTATAGGATGGCCTATAGGAAGATAGCCAGATTCATAAGAGGCAGCAGTCCCATCCGTGCTCCTTGGAGGAAGTTCAGCTTGCCATCTCCTCACCAGATGTGCTCCCTGATTCTATGATTCTTGTAAAGTGTTCCTTGGTTTTGTTACAGGTGCTGTGACCACTTTCTGCACTAAGGATGAACATTCATTTCTTCTAAAACAGTATATCTGATTATTTGCTCCATACACATGCATACCCACAATACAATGACCAGTTCTCAGGAACTCCTGAGCTGGTCTTCTTCTGCAACGATTATCAATAAGAGTCTCAATGAAGATAAATGTTTAAATGGGATGCATGGGGAATGCATACCGTCTGGTGTCCATCCTTCATCTGAAGATATAGAAGAGGGAAGAGAAAGGGGGTTGCCTCACAACAATGCATCAGACAATATAAATAGCCCAGTGCCCACAACAGTATTAACCAGCGTGAGTGAAGATTCCAGGGACCAATTTGAAAATAGTGTGCTCCAGTTAACTGAACAAGATTTAGAAACTACTGTTCATCAGGGCAATGATAACAATATAAGTGGACAGAACAACCATGGAACTGAAGACATCAAAATCCAATTTAACAGACAAGGAAGCGGAAATGGTGGCTTTCTTGAGGGACTTTTTGGCTGTTTAAAGCCAGTATGGAATATTATAGGGAAAGCCTATTCTACTGACTACAAACTACAACAACAAGGTAAACTCTGCCCCTGCCCCTTCCCATAGCTTTATGGCAAAAGGATTATATTCTCTAGAGTTGTATTAGTAAATTAGAAGTTTTTGCTGTAATTCACTGCCCATCTTCATTAAAATGGCTGGGTCTTCTATGTCCTTCTCCGAATAAAAGTCCATTATGAAGAACAAGTCATAGAGCATATGCTGTGTTGGACATTGCTTGCCTCATAAATACTCAGGAAAAGATTTTTTATTGTAGTTGACCAGAGTGACTAAGAAATTCCCCCTTGACATAGAGGAAATAACCATCACAAAAACTAAACTATAAATTGTACTTCATTGTTCTAACTAACCACAACTCCCCAATAAAAAATAAAAAAATACATTTTGAATATTTAACTGGATTTCAGTCACAATCCAGGCTTTGTGGAGAAAGTAAAGATTTATCTAATGAACTTTGCTGCTAATAGAGGCATAAGGCAGAAAAGAGGTGCTTTTAAAATATTTATTTATTATTATTTTGCAGGGCTTAGAGACCAATTCAATTGAGTGGCATAAAAACTCCTCAAATCCATTATATGGAATTAAAACAAATATTCACATTTTAGAATTCAATTACATATCTATTGTTATGTAGGAAGCAAAATCTTTTGAAGATGCATATATTTTGCATGTTCTTAAAAAGCCTGCAAACTACCAAGATACTAGATGAATTATTAGTTTGTGGTTTGTCATTAGGCAATTACTTGCAATTGTCATAACCATGCTTGTCCATTATCAGATACATGGGAGGTTCCTTTTGAAGAAATATCTGAGCTGCAGTGGTTGGGCAGTGGAGCACAAGGAGCTGTTTTTTTAGGCAAATTTCGAACAGAGGAAGTGGCCATCAAGAAAGTGAGAGAGCAGAGTGAAACTGATATCAAACATCTGAGGAAGCTGAAACATCCAAACATCATTGCTTTCAAGTAAGTTGGACATGGAATTATTCTGATTCTAGGGCTACCTTTTCAAACTGGTGCTATAAGTCTTCAGAGCTGGATGAAAGCAATTCAGAATACAGTACTGAAGTTTCCTTTATTCTTTGACTTTTAGTTCTTAATAGAAAAAGTGTTATCTGGTAATACAATAGAATCACTACTTTTGTTGTAAATGGATTTTGTGATGTAGTAAGAAAGTAGTTTGTAATAGCATGTGCATGAGTTCTTTCAATTAAAAACAATAATCTATTATTGGTGAAAAGAGCAAGAATAATGAAATCTTTTAGAGAAATGTTATAGTTGCTTTCCCATTGTATAAATAATAGTCACTACAAGACTATTAATCATGAATAGAAATGCAGAAAGCTTTTTGAAATGAAAATGTCCCAACCTTGAAACCTTGACTAATTCAGACTTAAGCAGAAATGTTCTAATGTTGCTCAAACAATTCTTAGTGTTTTGATCTTGATATAACCCATTTCAACTCTTGAAATATTTTACACACTTCTGGCCAGGAACAATAGTAAATGTCTGGGTTTTGGGGAGTCTTTGTATCTTTCATTATAATGAACTTATTTTTTTTCTTTCTCTCTTCACATCATCAACATGTCATTGCTGAGCATGACAAAAACATTTACCATTGATGCAGTCAGTACTATTTCATGCACTTCAAGGATATATGTAATCTGTTCTCTAGCGAAATCATTTACTGTTTACTGTTTAATTTTCTGCATATACTAGGTCTAATTTAACCAAATGGCAAATAAGCAATAGTGGTTACTTAGGAAGTGCTCTTGATTATTCTGAAGAAATGTGAATCAGAAACTTCTCTTTACTAGTTTTTTTTAAAATTCCCTATTGCTTTGATTTTGATTTTTTAAAATATGTATTTTTCTCTTTTCTCCTAGGGGTGTTTGCACACAGGCGCCCTGCTACTGTATAATAATGGAATACTGTGCACATGGACAATTGTATGAAGTGTTGCGAGCAGGTAGAAAGATAACACCTCGTTTGCTTGTAGACTGGTCCACTGGAATTGCTAGTGGAATGAATTATTTGCATCTCCATAAAATTATCCACAGAGATCTCAAGTCACCCAAGTGAGTAGACAAGTTTATACAATATGAGGAGATAAAGGAAATTGAAATAAGGATGGAATTACTATGAGTCTCTCATGTGATTTCCTGTGCATTTTATTCTTTTCAGTGTATTAGTTACCCACAATGATACGGTGAAAATTTCTGATTTTGGTACTTCTAAAGAACTCAGCGATAAGAGTACAAAAATGTCCTTTGCAGGAACAGTTGCTTGGATGGCCCCAGAAGTGATTCGTAATGAACCTGTTTCTGAAAAAGTAGATATATGGCAAGTAATACTATTATAATTGTTCACCTATTTCAATATTTCTATTAAAAATGTATTATTTTGTGTTTCCATGTTTTGTGGTTGCTGGCAGATTTAATTTTTATTAAGCTTTCTTTTTGATAAATATTTTTCTGTACTATGCTTTCTGCAAAATAATTCTGCTGTCAGAGACCTAACCTTTATCTTAATTTGTTTTTATATCTGTAAATTTTAATTAGTAGGTCCTTAGGACTTTATTGCTTTTATTGTATTTGAGCCTGCTGTTATATGTTGTTCCAGTGTTGTAATTACTTGCTGGTTATTTATGGAGATTCTCAATCATCCAGGTCATGGTTGTCCCAAGGTACTTTTGAAAAAGACAAAAGGCAAAAGAAAGTCTAGTTGCCTTTTGAAAAAGAACCTTTGAGTCTACTTTGCTGGTTATTGACCATAAATAAAATTTCAATATTTTTTCCTGATTTTGATATTGTTTTTTTCCCTATTTTTATTAGGTCATTTGGAGTGGTTTTGTGGGAGCTTCTCACTGGAGAAATTCCATACAAAGATGTAGACTCTTCAGCCATCATCTGGGGTGTAGGTAGTAATAGTTTACATCTTCCTGTACCCTCCACTTGTCCAGATGGATTCAAGATCCTTATGAAGCAAACATGGTAAAAATTGTATTTATTTGACAGAACAGAACAGAACAGAACAGAATAGAACAGAACAGAACAGAACAGAACAGAACAGTTGGAAGGGACCTTGGAGAACTTCTAATCCAACCCCCTGCTTACCATTTCAGACAAATGATTATCCAATCTCTTCTTAAAACTATTGTACTTCCTTGTACTGTACTTTAATATAGATAGAAATTGCATGTAAAATGGATTATTAACAATATGATCTTATCTGTTTTACATAAATTACAACAATAAGATCTTAAATCATTTCTTGGCTTGATAAAACCCAATCCTGTCAGTCTCATATTTGCTATATTAGTTAAGTAGCTATGAGAATAATATGCACCCTTGTTTTATTCCCTTTCCTATTCTGAAAAACTATGTTTCTCTAAACTTAATTCTTACAGTAGCTTCTTCTATATTGTAACTTTTCTCAGAAAAATTATTAGATCATGGCTTCCATTAACCTCAATGAATTTCACACTCTGACATGGTGCACACATTTATTCACTTCACTTATATCTTTTTGTCTTTGAAATTTTGGGATTAATTTTTCCTGCTTTGATTTTCACAATGATACTTATGCCTTTTTGAGCTTTTCTAAATATATTGAAACAATTACTTACATTGATCTGACATTTCAACTATATGTTCTCAGTCATTTAACTTTTTAAGTCCAACCCAAATATTTGAAACTAACATTTGGTGCTACGTTCCACAATCTGCACAATATCTTTGTTGACTTTTCCAATATGTATCATGTTGTATTCTGTTGCTGTCCATTCAGTGATGTCCAGGTGTAAAGAGTGCATTTATGTGGCTTGAAGTAAAAATTAGTAATGAAGAAGGATTACTATGAATATTGAGGTATTAGTGTGACATAGAAAACATAAAAATGCTAAAAGAATAATGGAGGTACAGACTATATAGAGTATTAAAGAGAAGAAAGAATAGTTGTCCATTCATAAAAAAGACTATAGGCACTGAGAAAAGCAAGTTTATTATTTAGTTATTTTAGAATGGTATATTTTTAGTTAGAAGTCATCCTTTTGGGGTTATTCTAATAAATATAGAAAATAATATTCTTTTGTACGTTAACCTTCAAAGAAAAAAACCCCAATACAGGCTAACATTTGTTTGCTGGATGGTACCCCTTTTGTTTTCCTTCATTTGGCAGGCAAAGCAAGCCACGGAATCGACCTTCTTTTCGACAGACACTTATGCACCTTGACATAGCATCTGCTGATGTTTTGGCTACTCCCCAGGAGACTTATTTCAAGTCTCAGGTAATTCAATAACTATTGATATCAACAAATTCAGTTTGATAGCTTGTCATAAGAGTTTTAGAAAAGACTTCTGGATCAAGCCAGAGCCCATTTTAATTCAGTGTTTTGTCTCTCATTGTAGCCAGCTTGGTGCTTCTGAGGTGTTCATAAGCAGGAGATAGATATATATAGATATACCTCTCTCCTATTACTGATGTCTTGCAAGTGGTATTTGGATATTTGCTTCCTCTACCTTAAATGTATAATTGATTATTCAAAACTAACATTGCATAACAGATCTATTTTCTAGGTCCATGTTAGTTACCCTCATATATCTAATCCTAATGATATTAATCTGTAAATTCTACGAGTCAATGATATGCTGGGCAAAGTAGAGCTTTTTTTCTTTCAAATAGCTTCACTGGGAGATCCCTTCATGTAAGGTTTTCAGAGAAGTATTAAAAACTCCTTACTGGTTTTCTTTGTAATATACATACTTTTTTGTGCCTTGATAATATTTTATTTATTTATTATATTTTTATCCCACCTGTATTAATTTATATAAGTAACTGAAGGCTGAGAAACAAATTGAGTGTAGCTCATACAATAGTGCAATATAACTTGATGTAATTACTGAAGCTCTTGAGTTATGAAATATAACCATCTAAATGTTGAATAGGCTGAATGGAGAGAAGAAGTAAAGAAGCACTTTGAAAAGATTAAAAGTGAAGGAACTTGTATACACCGGTTAGATGAAGAACTTATTCGTCGTAGAAGAGAAGAACTCAGGTCTGTATTTATTTAAGAGGTTAAGTTGATTAGATTAAGAATCCATCTATTTTAATATATCTTTCCCACATGTGCCACCCATTCAAATACATAACTTCTGAACCTGGAAGATGCATTTAATTATCATGGCAACTGTCTGTTGATAAATATGCCCTCCCTAAAGTGTCTAATCTACCCTTTTCCATTCAGTCTCTACCAGATGCATTGAGATTATACTTCCTTAATTTCTGGGTGCTGTCTTGCCAATGACTGCCAGATTAGGAAAGGTCAATTTTACTCTGTCAGTACTGAGTTTTTATTGGTTTGAATCATAGGCTACATTGCTTTTGCTAGTTGGATATGAATTCTTGTGTTTTGGCAAAGAGACCAAGTACTATTATCTATTTCTAAATAAACCATGTTTTTGTTTTGACAGCATTCAAATGTTTTCATAACTTTTGTCTGTTTTAAAAGTAACAGTTAACATGCTTGAGAATAATGCTGCCTAAATATATGCTGTTGATTATAGGATTGTGCAGCTGAGGCTGTCAGCTCTTTCTTTTTCTTAGGCATGCCTTGGACATTCGTGAACATTATGAAAGAAAACTTGAAAGAGCCAATAATCTGTACATGGAACTCAGTGCCATCATGTTACAGTTGGAAGTTCGTGAAAAAGAGCTCCTCAAGTACGTATATCCATCTATGTTTTGTTTTTATAAGAATTCTGTTTTTAACAAAAACATAGTTTTCTTACCAAGGGTAACTTACTCCAAAATGGGGGGAATCTTTATTCTTCTTGTTAAGCACTTTATTCTCCTGATCAAGGTTGTGAATAAGAAAGGTCTATTCATTTGCAGAAAATGATAGTTCTGTTGGGTTATTGGATATATGGAATTTCTGACAACTTTGCTTGATGCCTTATAGAATAATTAGGTTTTTCCAACTGTCAATTGTATATTTTAACATACTTTGTTTATAGCAGGTTGTAAATATTTGAGTAACCTTTGATTAAGAAAAGATTAAGACTTTTTTTTAAAATGTTACATATAGACGGGAACAGGCTGTGGAAAAAAAGTATCCTGGAACTTATAAGCGTCATCCTGTCAGACCAATCATCCATGCTAATGCAATGGAAAAATTAATGAAGAGAAGAGGACTCTCCCACAAACCTGGTGGGCAGACTAAACGGTGAGGCAAATGACTATCGTATGTTCAAGGGGAAGGGTCACTTTTCATAATGATTTCCTGAATTCTGTTTCAATTTCTCATCACTGAAGCCGTGCTGACGTATGTGCAATTAATTAGATAGTAATGTATGAATATTAGTATACTTTGCTATCTAATTGCTTTGAAAAGATCTTAATAGTCACAAATGGATATATTAAAATAACCAGATAAAATGATTAAGGTGTCTTAAAGGTTGAAGAATAAAATATGTTCTAAATTGAGAAAATAAACTTTATTTAAAACACTTAAATGGATGTTCAGAACAAGCCATATGACCCTGGATGGTGTATAAAATCATTAAATAAAAATACAAAAGAAAAGAAGAACAACATGTACCAGTAAAGCAAACTAAAATAATTAAATGGCAATCGTGTATCTCATCAATTGGGATTTCTGCTTATCCTAAACCAACTGCTTGGGGAAAGAGCCAGTCCTAATTGTTTTTCTAAAAGCTGCATGGTTGGAACCAACCAACTCAGTGTTGGGTCAACATCATTCCAAAAAAACAAACATCTATCTTTGATTACACCCCAAATGGTTCTATACCTCCATTCCTAGTACTCATTTATGCACTTTCCTACATGATATCCATAATTTTATTTTTAATTAAATATGTACAACTTAATTTTCTTTATTCTAAACATAAAAGTAGACTCACTGGCAATAATAATAAAACCAGAGGCCTCCTTAGCCAATCAAAATTGCATTAAAATGATGACACCCATGGGGCAATGTCATGATGCAGATTCTATCCTATCTGATATTTGATGCAAGTTCTAACGAATGGTCTTTGCATTACGATGCAAATTTAAACACTTCCCTGCATAGATCATTAGGAAGAATATGGAATATATTGCTTGTAGTCCTCACTTAATAACTGCAATTAGCAATTTTTTTCACTTTATAATTGCATCAGTTGGTAACAGAGTTACCAGTGTACTCTGTGTAGCTTATATAACTGTTACCAAGTGATGCAATTATAAAGTGAAAAACAATCACATGTCTGTATCCCACTTATGACATAAATTCTGGCTTCATTCATTAAGCCAATCACTGTGGATTGTTAAGCATGACAATACTTAATGGTGACCCAGTGACCAACCCAGATTGGATCCTGCAACATTATCCTGGGACACGTACATTTGCCTTCATTCATGATAAGCACCATTATAACTCCGTATGACTGAATGAATGGTTGAAAAGCAAGAGTGCGTATAATTTGAATGATTTTGCCTTTTTTTCCAGGCCTGACTTGCTAAAATCTGATGGCATATCCAACACTGAAGTGGCCCCTAGTGGCTCTCCTCTCTCAGGGAGTCCTAAAATGACAACAGTTAGTAGCAAAGGACGTTATCGCAGCAAACCACGCCACCGGCGAGGAAATAGCAAAGGCAGTTACAATGAGTTCACTGGAGTCTTGAAAAATCAGCCAGCACAGGATGACTTGGGCCAGCCAACTCACCATCATCCCCACCATCCCCATCATCACCTTCGACTTAATATACATGGACAAGATATAGCCAGTTGCGCTAACAACTTACGATATTTTGGTCCTGCTGCTGCCCTACGCAGCCCTCTTAGTAATCATGCCCAACGGAAGATGTCTGGCTCTAGCCCTGATCTTATCTCTGCTGCTATGGAAGCCGATTCAAGGAGAAATCTGGAGGTAAAGAAAGATGGAGAGAATAAAGCTGATTATTGGGAATGCTGTCAAACAGATACATATAATCTCTGTCCGCAGTGCAGACTGGGAGCAAATGACTCAAATCAACAACAATCCCTTGATCCAGGGCTAGAACAGCCTGAAGGACCATTGTATGATTCAGTTTGTGCAAATTCGGAGTTTCCTGCAAAGAATAAAGAAGGTGAATTCAGCAGCCACAGGTCAGTGTCTCCTCTTGGCTCCTCTCATCTTGCAAGCACTCCAGGACTGCTGGGTAAAACTCGATCCATTCCGAAGGTGAGGCCTTCAGAATTTTTGAAAGAATAACCTTGTTTCCCTGTGTTCTGTTTTCTCATTCCTGCTGTTTGCTTAATTATACTGTTTCAAGGTTTTATTGTTTACACTGAATAGAATGAAACTTAAAGATTTTTCTTCCTGACAATTGTATATTTATTATAACTTTTAATTGAAATCTGCATATTTGTAATTATTTGGCAAATAACAATTTCTTTTGTTGTCCTACCAGAGTGGTGATGATTCTTCAGAAGAAGAAGGAGAAGTAGATAGTGAAGTGGAATTTCCACGGAGACAGAGGTAGAAAGCCCAGTCTGACTATTTTACTAATTATTTAATAGCAATTCATTTAAGGAATCTTCATATGATTTAATTTCATTTCCACATAAAGAAAACTTTTGAGTCTGACATTGTTAGCTAAGCTTTTCATCCAAAAAGTTACTTCTCCGTCTCTATTCTAGAAACAAAGTATATATAGGATAAAACAATATGGTCAAATGTGTGAATTTTATCGGACCTAAGACGTGTGGCAAGTAAGAGGCAGGTACACCACCACTTGTTTTTTTTTAGCAACAAACTGTTGCATATCACAGGACTGCACTGATCTCTCTGATAAGCACTGGAATATGATTAGTGATGAATAGACAGACATGAAAAGAAAAATTACAGTTTAATATATGTACAAACTCACTACTATGGATAAAATTTTCAGATGAAATATTGGGAAAGATCTTTCTACCACATCTACCAATATGTACATGTATAAGCAACTCTAAGAAAAGATGTTGCTTGGAAAGAACTACTGTAATCCTTTTTGGGGACCAAAGGATTATTGCCTGAAACTGCAAAGATTTTCATATTTATTATGAAGTATAAGTATTTATATAGTTATAGTTATAGAGAAGACACCTGGAACATGCTCATTCTATGCAATCTGGATCTAGTGGGATTGATATCCTCAGAGAAATTAAATATAAATTTATTCTTCAGCCATCCAGTTGATAGTTACTGATTTCTTTAAGAATAGCTGTTATAATGTAATGTTGAGAGTCCTTTAGGGTATGCATTCTCTAATAAATACTGAGAATTACACTGTCTGCTGTTAATGGTTGTTTCTCTTGATGGAAGTATAGAGCTGGATATGACAAAATTTGGAGAAAGAAGAGAAATTAATTTTGGGAAACAAAAATAAATTTAGGAGACTGTGGATATAAATGTATCTAGGTTTCTGCAACAGAAAGGAAAATACACTAGATGAAAATTGTCATCTAAGTACCAATCTGGATATAAAGTTTAGAGCAGGTTATGAGTAAGATTTCTCTATATCAAAATGCATATATGCATAGCATGTAATAATGATAATGGAAAATGTAGTGAGTTATGTGATTAATTGGGGTCTATGGCCCAGGAAAGTTTTCTACGTCAAGATAGTGAATACATTGATTCTTAGGGAGTGGACCAAAAAAGCAAAGATTATTAATTTGTAAGAAAATAAAATGTGTGTTGTTACATGATACATTGTTTTTGTGCATTTGATGGATACACTTTGGAAATGTGTATTCTTCACAAAGAGGAACATTAATTACATGTTTATGCCTAATAGTTGTGAATTTATATATAATATATATTTTAAGAATGTAAATTTGGCCTTCTACTTGTTATTTGATTTGCATATACAGTACATAAAATCAGTTGTATGCAACATTTGAACCAAAACTGACTAAAGTGTTAATGGATTTACAGGCCACATCGTTGCATCAGTAGTTGCCAGTCCTATTCGACCTTTAGTTCTGAGAACCTCTCCGTCTCTGATGGGGAAGAGGGCAATACCAGTGACCATTCCAACAGTCTGGATGAGCTGGCTAATAGACGGGAAGATTGTTTGGCTGAGAAGTTTGACGACATGCTGTCACAAACTCCAGAAATCCCCATTGAGATATCTACTCAGTCTGATGGACTTTCAGATAAAGAGAGTGCTGTACGCAGGGTGAAAACACAGATGTCACTTGGCAAATTGTGTCCAGAGGATCGTGGTTATGAGGTTAGAAATACCATCTCTCCTCTGTTTGGGAATATTACACATTATTTAGTCGTTCTGTAACCAGATCTGTCAACCAATTAATGCATGGATGATCAATGTGTAATCCTATGTATGTTCTTGAGATTTATATCACCTGTCACCATTGAGCATACTTGCTATGGCTTATGGGAGATAGAATTCAGCAGCATCAGTTTGTCTGTGTTTAATTAAATCATTTTGCTTGATCACCTACCTGCTTCTTAAATGTTTTATGTCTTGGCTTAGATCCTAAAATAAACTAACCTTAGAAAGTTCATGGACATAATTTTCCCCATTCCCTGCTGTCATTTGCAGCATTCAGAAAATTTTTCCAGATGATCAGAGGATTTCTTTTTTTTTAGCATTGTGGAATAGAAAGTAGGTGGATAATGGGGGAAGGGGGATATACATCTTGATTTCCATCATTGGCTTGTGTATATTTTTATCCTGCATGGAAGGGAAACTTTACCTGCCAAATAAAAATATTGTATATCTGAAATGCCAAAAAATAATTTGAATTGCTTCTATTACTTTGTAATACAGAATCCTGGGCAGTTTGGAGACTCAGGTGGTGAATCTTCAGAAGAAGACTGTTCTGATGCGACCGTGAGAACCAGTAAAGTTTGCAACTCTGCAACCTTGTAATGATAAATCTCCTTTAGCCTCATTAATCAACTGGCATTTTGATTCCACTCAGAAAAAAACTTTTTCATTCCATCTTTGAGAAGTTGCTTCTTCACCCCATCAACTAAATGATCTGCAATAACTTGAATCTTTGGAGAAATGTTCTGATGAATTGGTTTCTCAATGAGCATTTCAATCATGAATGGCAGGGATGTATTTTATTGAATAATTGAACTATTGTACCATATTTTTGGCATTTTAACACTTTTTACTGAACAAAATGATCACTCTCCATAGGCAAATAATTGGTTACAAAAATAGAAAGAAAACTGAAAAAGAATCATTTTGATTTTTAAGAGAGCATATATAGACAGAATAGAATTTGTCATTACTTGGCCATATGGCTCCGAAGGGCTGACAGGTTAAAAACACAGCAACTTCATTGATTTCGTTAAAACAGTGCATGTGATAATCTATGAGTAAAAAGTCATTTGTATAACCAGTGTAACTTTTTCAAAATAAAATATTCACATTCCAGGGAAAAAGTATCTGACATGCTGTTCCTCAGCATAAGAAAATGGAAACTAATGGTTTTCATTTTAAAATTTATTTTATTGTTAGTCGATTGCAAAATCTTACAACTGCAATTACAGTTTCTCTCCATATCATCATCATACTAGTGTGAGGACAGCAGATAAGAGTACTGAAAGATTGATGGATAGATGTTAAAATGGTTAGTTGGTTCCTTCAATTAAAAATACACGTGTCAATGCTGAAGAACTTACAAGCCATGGAAAATATATTTTATGTATCCTGAAGACTTTCCTGAAGAAAGAAATTAGAACTCTTCCCCCTGTAGCTGGGGGATGGTCCAGCTTCGGCCACACCACTTGTCTTCCTACTGTTTTCACTAATATGGTTTTGATAGGAGAGAACTGGTCACTTATTAAGCTTGTTGAAAAGTTACATAACTTTTTTTTTAAAAAAAAGACAATTGATGAAAATGCTCTTTGAGATGGGCTTGAAAGAATATTAAGTCATATTTGTATTGTGGATTCTGGACTGGTATGCCTTTTTCTTTTTTTACAAATATGATTTATCATTCATTCAATTTCCTATAATTAAAATGTTCAAGAAGAGCAAAGCAAGTAGCACTGGCTTTCAAATCAAAGTATTAATCATTATCTTTCAATGCTTCCTTCCTTCATCATGTTGGCTAAAGAATGACATTAAGAAAGAAAGCCTTTTGGCGAGTGTAGCAAGATTTAAGTTAGTATCAAATGCACCCTTCAGCCCATCTGCAGAATGAAAGGCAAGCATGGGTTGATATTGTGCTGCTGTTTGTTTACATTTGATTTGATATGATTTTGTAAAAAAAGATTAATAGCCTAGTGACAAAATGTAGGAAAATTCTTTACTAATATCGAAGAACAGTATTGTATGAGTTAAATTATTCCATACTTTTAAAAATTCTGTAGCTGGACTACATGAATCATAAATTATTTCATTATTTATTATAATTTCTGTAGATTGATGATAGGGCTTGTTGTACTGCAGCATGTCAGTCCTATTTCAGCTATGTTGTGGCCTAATTCCAGGAGGAATAGTAACCAAAGTGCTCTACTTATAATGCAATTTAATAATCTAACACAGGCCACACTGATTTTACTCAATTGCAGCAGCCTATGGAAAGCAAACGTGGCATAGTCTGATAAAAATTGCATGTGCCGTGAGTGTAAAGTATATAAGAAACAAATGATGCTTCAGCATGCATTAGGTTCCCTGTTGCAGTCCATAACACTGTGAGATAGTCAGATTGAAATATAAAAGAATTCATACCTGCTCACTTGAAGTGGCATCTCCTGCTAAAATAAGAGATTCCTCAAGATTTATATCAGAGTGAACCGAGTTTTGCGTGTTCTGAACAAAATTGCTTGTTGTGAATTCTCTGCCTATTTTCCGAAAGAGGAACTACTTTTTTAGGGAGAACTATATGCTGTTGATACTACACTCCCCATCAATGCCATTCCAATTATATATGGGCCCAACTGTCTAGGAAGATTGCTGCAGCTGCCAAGTCCATGGCAAATCCCTAATTTAGAAACATTATTTGGTGCTTGATCTAGGCACATTTTTTTAAACTGACAAGAACAACTATCACACAGCCTTTTTTTAAAAAATGGCAAAATACAAGCGTCAGCATTGACAAAATGCTACATGCTGTTTTTCCCCTGATATGAAGCAGTTAAGATTGCTATTTCAGTGCTAACATTAGCCCACTATTTCTTCTATGAGAAGTTCCACACTAATGCCTTGCTACCCTGAAAAAGAGTACAGTAGTGTAGGGCTTATCAATTTGGCAGGCAAAAATTATCCGGGATCCTGGAAAAAGGATTTTCTTGTGATAATTTAATTGCAGATATTGAACATAGAATCTCATGCATGCAAAGCATGTCTTTTACCAATCTAGTAGTTTCTTCCCAGAAGTTTCTACATTAGTGGAGAATGTGTCCAATTTAATTATCTTTGTTGTAGATACTGGTTGTTTCTTTTTTGGTATTTGCACTTATCCTGATATCCAATGACATGCTGTACAATGTAAGTCTTCAAGACACTATTTTATGATTCAAGAAATAATTAGGATGAGTATCCAGTAGGGTTTTCAAAGTCTTATGTTCTCCTGCTAATGTGTAGCCTGTGTATCTCATTAGACTGAAGAAATAGTGTTTTAACTTGCTTATATCCAAAGAGTCTATTTATTAGAAGGCACTGGTTTAAGAAGCAAAATAAATTTAAGAATGTAATATCTAGCAGAAACTTTGGATGAGTCTTAATATTTGTTATTGATCAATTTACAAACATTCCAAATGGCCAGAAATCCATGGTTTGGTTTATTAAATACAATAAAAGAATTCTTCTAGATACATTTTTACCAAATTATGTCTAAAAAGTTTGTTCAACTGTGAACAAGCAGAAAAACTTTTGAAACTGAAAATTTAGCCATAATTTTAGCGATCATCCTACTTTTCCCAGTTCAATTGTTCTATTTATCACTTCTAACTTCATAGCATTCCCTAAAGCACAAATTAAAAATGTCTTAACAAATATAGTCTCACAGTAGCAAAGAGATTCAAATTAAGCAGTGTCATTGCTGATAATAGTTAAACTGACAGCTGGGCTAGATGTTATAATCACTGTGGGAATACAGTCAATACAAAAAGTTCTCCTTCTGTTATAAAGTTAGGTACATAGGCAATAGTTATATTCAACAATGATGTAGCCTGACTCTAAGCAGAGATGTTGCTTGTTGTGTTATTACAACAGACCTGTGCATGTTTTGTTTCAAGAACGATAGAATAATTAATTCTAAACTTTGGATGTTGATAAAATCCATTTTAAATATTGGTCCAACATACATAGTTGATATTCTAGTATATGCTGGTTACCTTTTTAAAGCTTTCTCTTAAATGTGAAGATTAAACATTTCTTTTAAATATGGAAACATTCTCAGGTAAATTTGGGCATTTTAAAAAGCTTGCTGTATTCTGTCGCCCCAATAAAAAATACTATTTTGGCTATTGGAGCATTAGTTCACAGCACTAAATATTAAGAGATATGATCAGAACTATGGGAATAGATACTAAGAAACACAGAATATTAACTCTTTTTTCCTAGGAAGCAAGAGTTCTGTTTACTGGAAGGGAGCCACCATGTTTTTTCACATATTATACTTAATTTCATTCACAGAACCAGCTAGCACAAAAAATGATGCAGTTTTGTAATAGGAAAGGGAAATAGTACTGTTATTGTTGTATTAATTCTTTGATAGAATTTTACATACAAAGGAATAGTAGAATCTAGATTTAGTTCTTAAATTTTTCAAACCAAAAGCCATAAATCATTTCATTCAGTTTATGACACAGTATTGCCATGTGTGAATTAGTGTGCGTTTTCTTGCTGTGTTATGACTGTTCTGTGCAAGGGCATTACAATATTGTAATTACCTGATGAAAGTGTCAGGTCAACAGTGGCACAGCATAAGAATAAGCAATGCAAACCAGAGATAAGCTTTTGATTGAAAAGCCTTCTTTGGCATATTTTCAAGATTCTTACTCTCTATTCTTACTTGCTGGGTCCAGTTATGGTACAATCAATATGTTGGCTAATGGTTAGTAGAAATTATTATGTTTATATGTCATACAGAATTATAATTTTATCTTCTGTGCTGTCTTTTCTCCCTACTTTGAGGCGAACTTGATTTCTTTTTGTATTGAACAGTGAATAACAATTGGGAACAAATGACTATCAAATAGATGCATGGAATAAAAAGCCAGTGTACCTCATTACGTGTTTGCAGCTTCAATTTTGAATATAAATGTATGACTCAAAGATATAACTGTGTATTCAAAGTCATTATTTTTTTCTGTATGGTACAGTTAGTTTTCAAATTAAGATGGTTTGCTGACCACTTTGGATGAAGGAAATATTCTCTCTCTCTCTCTCTCTCTCTCTCTCTCTATATATATATATATATATATATATATATGTGTGTGTGTGTGTGTGTGTGTGTGTGTGTTTTCTGAGGTTCTCGCGGGTATTTGTATGTGGATCTTTGGTTATTCGGGTTTTCTCCCACGTAAGATTGGCAGTATCTAGGCAACATTTCGATGAAGTCTCATTCATCATCTTCAGGCTTCTGTCTTCGGCTCTGCACATACACACACACACACACACACACACACACAAAGATTACAATTTTTATGAAGTTTTAGCTCGCGAGAAGTATTGGGGGTGGGGGGAAATAGCGTTCTTAAGATAGAATTGCTACTCATACCGATGCAAACCAGACAATCTGTTATAATTTGCCGCAGTGTATTTTTCAGATAATCTTTTATTACTGTTTTGTTGGCACACCACATGTACAAAAATTTAACAGAAACCATCCTAAGAAGTTTGCTAAGAAGACTGATATGTTTAATACAATATTGACATTTATTTAGAACAGATGGGGAATGATGGCCCATTTATGACTTGTGGACTTCAACTCCCAGAATTCCTAAGCAAGCCATGGAAGTACACAAGTCAAAAAGTTGTGGGAGTTGAACTCCACAAGTCATAAAGGGACCATTATTCCTCACCTCTGATTTAGAGTATGACAAAGACCACCTCAAATAAACTATGGGAATATTCACAGAAAATCCAATAACCAATACTGAACCTTCTGCTTGCTTTGATTGCTAAAATGGCAAACTTGCATCACTGTGGACATCAGGCAAATGAAACCTTACACTTTCCTTAATGTCTTCTATCCATTTTTTTGTTGTAGTACAAAAAGGATGAAACAAGGTTCTGAAGCTGCAGCTTGATGCAGAGACAAGCAAGGTCAAGACCATTTTCAGATAGGAAATTCAGAGGAAAATGGGATTAACTAACACTTGGATTAAGAACAAAGACCATATTAAAATAGGATTTTCCAAACTGAAACACTGGATTGAACAAACAAGTAATATAACAATTTCAATTATTATATTCAAAGTATATTCTTTTCTGCTTAATCTAACAATTATGTAAAGATAAAGATTTTACTTTGAAAAGTGAAAAATGCAATTTTCCATAGAGCATATTGTTAGAAAATTTTGAAAAGTAAGAAATGCAAATTTTTCAGAGCATGATGTTAGAAAATTTCTTCAGACTTAACCTGAAATCTTCTAGACCTCACTGACATTTCATGTTATCTTATATAGAAAATCATAAAATAAGTTACTTATTAAACATTTTAATAAAGAGAAAGGTAAGAGGCAAGCCATTCCTCTATATAATTTTTCTTCTTTGTGATATTCCAACAGGTGAAAGGAAATAATACAAAACTTCACTGCATTCCTCACATTGGGAGGAAATACAATTCATTGCCATTATTTAAATAAATCAATATTTGCCCCAAATGCTACACTGTAACTGCTTCATGTGCAAAACAAATGCTGTTCATCTGGCAAGCAATTTCAGGCTTACTTCTTCAGTGATGCTAGGATTTAGATTTTCTCAAATCAATAGATGCAGGTCTACTTGGTCCCTCAAATTCTGACTTCTGGATAAACTGGATCATAAGTAATTTTATAAAACTGGACATATCAGTCTCAGCTCTTTTAAAAAAACAATATAAGACTCATCTTTATAAATTAGCAAAGGAAGATGCCTAAAACAGCAATAAGTCCAAAGTCCAGTGACAACAGAACTGCTGATTCAAAATACCTATTTTCCAATTCTGCCTTAAATAGAATTCCACGTTGTCTCATATCTGTTTAGGGGTGGTCTATTCAGTTGCATTTCCTTCCATTCAACAAGTGACTTTTTTGTTCACTTTTGTTTAAATTGAGATGTTTCTGACTGAACTTCTTAATAAGAGCCCCAGGGATTAATGCCATCATGGCTATAGCCAACATCTTGAATAAGTTACTCCAGGATAAAATGTTCTCCAAGGAAGATATCTGTGAAAGTACTGACCCTGTCTGGACACAGATAAAATTATAAGGAATCAATCCTGTAAGTGAAAGAGGAGAATTCTAGGATTAGAAAAATGTACACATTTCACAAAGTCTGTGATAAGTTGTAGCCTGCACAGAAAAAGTCTTGAATATACAAATGGAGGGGAATAGATCTGAGCATCAAAGGAGAATAAAAACCATAAATTTACAAATGTCATTGGAGAAAATAAAGTATTTGCAAGTTTGATGTAATAAGTCAATTTCTCTACATATGAACAAGCTGGAATCTTCTGCTTACCTGCATAATTGTTATTTTGTCTCCACAAACATTTTATACAACTTGGTTTAACATCCTAAATCACATTATAAAAATGGTACTGATAAGTTTTTATTAATCACTTTAAGGAGAATAGTTGAAATTATGGCATTAACTTGGAGATACTTTTCAATTTTCACAATAAGAAGTAATATATTCAACAACGAAAAAATTCATTGTTTTTCTGTTACCACTTTCTGGCAAAATATAAGGGAACCATAGAAAAATATATTCTTGCTATGTGATTTGTAAATTATTTATATATTTGCTTTGTGTAGTCATTGGGCTGGCCTGTAAGGGAATGAAGTTGGGGTTGCTATCTGCACTTGCCAAAAGCAGCCATAACCAGGCAGGAATGCTTCTCACCCCCATTTCTTCAAGAATCAGCTCAGTTGATGCTTTATGTCAAAGGACAATAAAGGCTTAAAGCTCCAGAAACTTGAGAGAAAATGGTCTCATTAATTCATCCATCTCCTCCATTCACACCATTTACTTACAGGCATCCATACCATTATTCCAGGTGTTTGGTTAATTGAGCAATCCACCCGCCTGGTGCTTTTAGGAACATGCTGTTGTCCATACACAGCCTAACCCTATCTAGGTCTTTAGCTTACAAAAGTCTGTAGTTGTGTAGGAGAAAGAAGGATAAGATGGCAGCAAACAGAGGAGGAAGTGTGGTGACATCTGGGATTGTACAGCTATTACAGGCAACCTAGAAGGCCTACCAGTTTAACTGCCAGGACTACCACTAAGCAGCGCATAGTGGTATGATTCCTGCTTGGAACTTGGTAGCAACTAAAACAGAAGCAGCCATGCTGAGGCAAACCTAATTCCAACAAGAGATTTTGGAGGGAGGCATAAGTTGCATGCACTTTAAAAACTTCGTTTGTTATAGGGACTAACCATCAAAGGCTTATTTCCATGACTACATCAACTTACAAGGCATAGGAAGGTGGGATGAATCCAAGGCAACAGCCTATTATTAGGAAAGGTGTGTGCAGGAATAAATATTTTGTACAATCTTCTTAAGCTATGGTGTGTCCATAGTCCTTGTAAAACAACCCTAAGAATCCTTTCAGCTATGTGTAGCCAAAAACAAAAATGTCTGAATTTGAATAATAGAAAACACATATCTATTATAATGCAAAAGTGAAGAAAGACCAAATAATACACTAAACACTATAGATGTAAATATGCTGCTTTTGTTCTTACCTATGAGAACAGAGAAGAAAAATTGAGTCACATGGATGTTCAAGACTGGAGATGCAAGATTCAGAAACCAGTTTGGAGTCATGGGGAGCAGTCTCAAAAATAACAAGAAGAAGAACAAAGAATGTCTATTTTCTTCTACCTGTCAAAGAAAACCCCACCAAAAGATGATAAAAATCAGGCAGGATCAAACTGCTTTCTTTTTTTCTCCCAAAGGTACAGTACTGTAATACAAAAATATGTTCTAAACAATATTCAATTAGTCAACTGTTCCTCTAAGGAACACATCCACAAGAGAATGGGGATGAGGGAAGAACACTGTATTTCTGCTAATTCTTCTTTCTTTGAAATCTGAGGAGCCTGAGAAAGCAGTGAAGGAAGGAGGAATGCCTGAAAGCTGCCTTCTGCCTTTTAAAGGCAGGGTTTTTTCCCCCTGCATCTTGGGCCCATCTATGACTGGAAGGAGTCCTTCCAAATGTGGGCTACTAATTAGGATCTAAGACTAGCAGACATTCCCCACTGGCATAAATGAAGTAGATAAATAGTTGCTTGCGGAAGGTATAGTTACCATGGGGTTATTGTTTGTTTTCTATTAATTAGGTATAGGCCCATACTAGCAAAAAATATCAACTATAAGTCTATGCAGCAATTTTACTGCACACCTTTTAAAAGAAATTGCATCTTTTCCTGGCTTGTATAGATAATTATACACTTGGAAAAGTTTGAAGAAATGCCTACGGAGGTCAAGATTGTGGCATTATGTTCTCTGAATCATTTTTTTAATCTTCTAATTTGGATTCTAATAACTTTCTAACTTGGATTGTTAAAATCTTATAAACCAATGTAACACTCATGAAGGAATATTTTTAGAACTTTAGTCAATGCATGTTAAATCACTAGCAGTAAACTTTGTCAGCAAGAATATGGTCACAGAAGCATGGCAAGATGCCTTCTATCAAGCTAGACCACTGGGCCATCTAGTTTCGAATTTTGTATACTGACTAGGAGCAGGTCTTCAAGTTTTCAGATAGGATTTTTTCCTTGCAGTACCAGAAATTGAACCTGAGACATTTTAGGTGCAGCCATATACAATTGAATTCTATTATATACAATTCTTAACTATTACTAAATAAAATTTAACTGTAATTAGCTTTTTCTTACCTTCCTCTGAAGCATGGTGACTTTATCAGGAAAATAGTAGGTAACAAAGTTTTTCCCAAAAATATTGGATAGTCCATAGCAAAAAGTAGCACCCACAGAAGTCAAAGTAGAACATAACAGAAGTCCTATCCATGGTCCAAAGAGAGCCCCAGCAAGGATGTTCTGTTAGAGCAAAACTAGATAGTGATCCAGTCCATTAAAAACTGTGGGGAAAGCATTAAGGGCTTTATGAACAATAAGAATATAAGAACAGCCTTGCCTGGTCCATTTACTTCATAGTTATCAATAGCAGTGGTCAGTGATGTTCCTGCAAAATCCATAAACTGGGTATAAAACAGAGGTGTTTGCTGCTCTTAATATAATACAGAATACCGTACTGTGAGCCTGAATGTGTACATACAGCTGTCCACCAAGATTTTTTCTATTGTTCCTCAATAAAATGATCTGGTTTACTTCCCTCCCTCCCTCCCAGCTAACTCAAAAAAGTCATGTTACATCAGGTTGAAATAATAAATGGAACAGTAGAAATAATTCAGAATTATAAGACTGAACCAATTTTACTTGAAAATAGAGTCCAATAAAACATAGCTTGGATTGAAATCATGGTGATGAGAAGAAATGAGGATGAATTATTTTTATGACTCATCTGAAATTCTGCTCAGTGGCAACAGATGCTACAAAGAAAGCTTGCTTTTTTGTCTCTGTTGTACATGCTTAGGCCAGGTTGGAAATACTATGAGTAGTATTTACTTTTTAACCTTACAACCTTCTGACAGATGATTCCTTGAGTTTAGTATATGTTCCTGATTGGTTAAATGATACATTTACAAAATATATAATATAAAATATTTACTCTGACTTTTCAGCAAGATAGAATATTTATTTTTAATACTTATACTGCTATCCATGTGTAATCACAACGCTAGACAGCTCACAAGGCAATAAAAACAGTACCTCCTAAAAGGAACAATAAAATCCCAAGGCAACTCTCTTACACATCCACATATTATATCCTGAAGGGGTCTTCCTAGAAATGGACAAAATAATACTCACATTTCTAGATGTGTTCATGAAAGGGTTCCATAAAAATAACAGGAAGAATATATACGTTATGGAAGGATGAATTGTATATCTAACAACACAAGTACAGGAATAATTGTTTCTGCAACATACTGTGAAATCAATCTACAACTTTTATATAATATATACATACCAAAAAACTAGAGCCTGGTATGGCAAAGGTTTGTTTGTACAGGTAAGCACTGCAGAAAAGCAGAATCACATATGCATGGTGCTCTTTATTGTAGTACTGTAGAAAGTCTGCAAGTTCTTGTAGTTCCTCTAGATCTGAAGGGAATTTTAATGACCTGATAAAGAGCATAATTAGTTTAGTTGCAAAATGATTGGATTAAAAGAAGGAACAGAGGATAATTATGAGATTAGCCTTGAAGATTAACAGGTTTATTGCAACATGGAGCTCTCTCAAGAAAATAAATCAGTTCAATCTTACAAATATTGACCTTTTTGCTACCTAACATGTATTATGAGGTTAGAAGGAAACACCAAATTAAAAGTCATCTTAATTTTTCTTTAAAAAAAGATGGTCTGTGCTGTCAATTTAATACAATGACCCTTAGAATTTTAAGAGAAAACAAAAACTTCTGTAGTTCAACAATCTAGTCTTTTCTCTAGAAAGTAACTTAACCCCTGATAATTTGTACTAGAATTCTTCTGTTAAACAATGGACCCCAAAAAGATGCCTTCTCTGTAGCACTACAGATTCAAATTACCCTACTGGTGCATCAAAAGGGCTCCCAAGTTATGGCTCTTCTGGCAAGCATGAAGCCCTTCTTCTTTGTTCCTATATGGGTTAGATACCTTTTGTTCCTTTTCGTTTAATGTTTTCTTGTATTACAATATTTTCTAAACCCCCAGAATTACTGTGAATTGAACTGAATTAAATTTAGTAGATTTGTTTGTATTATTCTCTTAAATTCTTATAGTATCACTAAATGGTGCCTGCCGAACATTTTTTCCTAAGAGAAGTTATATGGTTGAGGGAAAAAATGCCATGTGAAAGAAAAAGATGACATGAAAAAAAGACATATATTTCTGAGGAAAAGAAAGAAGTTCCAGATAATCTCCAAGAATCAGGTACAATTGAATGGAATAAAAAACCTACAGGCACCAGGAAATGTTCCTGATTTTCTCAGAGAAAGTAAATGAAACACCAAGATTATTTCATTCTATGTTTATTGCTTTGCTGGACTTCACTTAATCCTTTTAAATTACTTAGGCAAAATGTGAGTAGATATGCTGTTTTTATTCAGTGCTTCTATAGAGGAAGCTTGCTGTTGCTAGTAGTAGAGCAACCAACAATAGGTATGCAAAATAATTGGGGAGGATCCTACAGGGAAAGGACGGTATGTTTCTAAACCTAATTCTTATTGTGCAATTACTTTGCCCGTGGAATGGTATGGACAAAGTGACATCTTTGATCTGTAATCTTTGCTACAGAAATTATGTAAAGGCAGCAAGGTTCATACTTATTCATATAAGTATGAACCTTGCTGCCTTTACATAATTTCTGTAATTTCTCAAACTATAATACAAAAGACCATCCTTGCTGGATAAATCAAATTAAGAGACCTTAACATTGAATAGACTATTATGCCAAAAGCATTTTAAAATCAGCTTGGAGGACATCTATTGCCTACATCAAGGCAGAAGGATATATAGTTTACTGCAATTACTCAATCGCTTTTCTACACACAATAGTGTCGTTCAAAGCGCCCGAGGAGATCAGACACTCGCCAGGGTCGTCAAATCATTGTAGACCGCCATTGCAATTAGGTTGCATAACAACTTCGGGATCCTAGCAGCACCATTGCAGCGTCTGTGAAGTGTCGATGGCGATGTATACTCCAGTCGGCGTACGGAGTCATTAGCCACTTCCAGCAAAAATCCAGACCGCCGGCCTTTGGACTTTGAGACCCATCGTGAGCGGAGATATCTTGCAGAACTCAACTGCCTGATCGCCGCTAAAGGAAAACTCGCCGGCTCTTCTCCGTGCGCTTCGGGACCCGAGCGCCCGACCTGACAGCGACCCCGAAATAAAGAGGAGGCAGCCAACTTACCCGCTTCCCGCGCGCGGCCCTCCAGGCAACCAGGCAGTTAGCAAATAAAGTCCCGAGGTGGCCGCTGCCAGGACCAGTAAGAACCCCACCAACGACCGCATCACCGCCGCTCATAAGGTAGACTAAGAGGAACAGAAGAGGAGCAGGAACTAAAGGCAACGGCCGAGGAACCGCATACTCACACTCTGGCGAGTGACACGATTTCTCCTTCCTTCCATAGATGGCGAAACTTCCTGTGCCAAGAGTACATACCGGAGCTTGGTCCGTCCACCGCCATTCCCTTTCCCTATAGCAGGGGTCTCCAACCTTGGCAACTTTAAGATTTGTGGACTTCAACTCCCAGAATTCCTCAGCCAGCAAAGCTGGTTGAAGAATTCTGGGAATTGAAGTCCACAAGTCTTAAAGTTGCCAAGGTTAGAGACCCCTGCCCTTATAGCACTGTTTCCCAACCTCGACAACTTTTTACATCTTAAAACTTCAACTCTCAGAATTAAAAAGTGAGGTTGAGAAACACTGCCTTATAGATCTTAAAGCCAGAGGTGTCGTGTTCTTTATTTTATTTTATTTATTTTTATATGTCAATTGCTTACAAGATAATAGGTTTAAGTAAAACATAGCTATGAATACATGGATACATATAAGAAAAATATATATATATATATATAAAAGAAATAGGACAGGGACGGTAGGCACGTTGGTGCGCTTATGCATGCCCCCTACAGACCTCTTAAGAAAGGGGTGAGGTCAATAGTAGACTGTCTAAGGCCAAAGTTTTTGGGGTTTGGGGAAAAAACCATAATCAGGTAGAGTATTCCAGACATTGACCGTTTTGCCTGTACTGCCGTTGAGTTCTTTGTCCAGAGACACAGAGCTGTACCTGGGCTAATCTTGGGGAAAAGCTTTTAATTGTCGCTGTTGATTCTGTGCTGTTTTATTGGCTGTAGGTCGCCCCTTTATTAAGAAAGGAACGAGTGAACGAAAGCGAGCAGGATCGGATCTGCTTAACCTACGATTCCGCTCCGATCATTAGTGTCACCCAAAAGAACAGATACTTAAAGACGTGGGTTACGTTAAACCGCGGTTTAATCGTGACATTTCAAATAATAGCTTAATGAACATAGAACTCATCAACCGTAAAATCAGAGTTTGGAAGCCAGGACGAGTTATATTGAACCAGAATGCGTTTGGTTTGGGTCGAGGAAGTCACGTTGAGAGTGCTTGATGTGGGCGAAAGTCCATCCGAACTGTCAGAACGAGGCCAGTTGCGCGGGACCGATAAGAATGCTTTGAAAACGGCCTCTCTTCATCACGGTGATGAGGGATGAGGGAAGGGCTTTCATTATTTAGTACGTGCTGTCCGTGACGTATTTCCGGCCTGGCCGTGGTGGCTGAGGCCTATGTACAAGTGGTTCTGCGAGACTCTGCGTTCTTGGGTATCGTCCCCTTCCTCTTGTCACCGGGATGTGGAGCCTTCGTTACCTCGACCGCGGAAGAGACGGTATCGCAGGTGAGAGCACGAAACCCATCTCGGGGCTGTAGTAGGCTAGTCTGGGCAATCGGAAAGCTTCCCGGAAAGAGGAGGTGAAGGCAAAATATTTCCGTGATGCCGCCCCGAAAATTGTACAGACTTCGGCGTGAGTCGAGAGAGACTCAACGGATGCGGGGAAGGAGCTGAACGCCTGCATGAGAGCGCGAGCTGGAGTTAAAGTGAGCGTCACATCAGCTCCCTTCAGCCTTGACTTCCTGAGCCTTCCCTTTCTCTCGCCTAACCTTCGCTTTTCCTTTCATATCTTTGATTTGCACTTATTAATTTTTATCCCGCCTTTGTTAAATGTATAAATAATTCAAGGTGGCGAAAATACCTAATACACCTTTCCCCTCCAAAGTCACCCAGCTGGCTTTGATGCCTGAGGTGGGACTAACTACACCTGCCAGTCTCCCCGGTTTCTAGCCTGATGCCTTAACCACTAGACCAAAGTGGCTCTTCCATCCTTATAGATTCCCTCTTCGGGGATGGATTCACAGAATTGGAAAATTGTGGCTGGATGATGAAGTCCCCAAATAGAGGGTCTGGTAGCACCTTTTTTCAGCTAATAAAATTTTATTAAAAGGCGTACAGTTTATAAGCTGCAACTCACTTCATGAAATGCATAGAGTTACTGAACCGAGGTAAGATTGGGACGAGGTTGAGTGGGGAGGAGGAGGGAAAGACATTGTGTTTATGTGGATGCAGAATGGCCTCATCCCTGTGGAACATTTCACCACCAGACAATTGCTCTCATCGTTTTGGCCTCCTGGAAGGGTATTAAAACTTGGCTTGGGACACTCATCACTGGAGGTCATCACTGGAGGTAGTTAACTGGGGTAAGAGGACTTTTTCCTCTGTCATCTCTTAATTTGGGGTTTTATATAGCTTAAAATTTTAATCGGCAAGTTTTAATATTTATTCATTTGTTTTAATATATTCATATTCATTTGTTTTAATATATTCATTTGTTCATTTATTTAGAAGATTTATATGACTCTCAGTGACTCTGGGCGACTTACAACTAGTAAAAAAACCCAATATTAGAAGGATAACAACTATAACTCCCAATCCCCTTGGTGACAATCAAATGGAGCCATTTGATGGGCTGCGTCCCATTCTGGGTTTCCCAGGCCAATTGGCAAAACCAGGTTTTTAGGGCTTTTCAAAGGAGTGTCAAAATGGGGGCCAGCCTAATCTCTGCGGGGATGATATTCCAAAGAAAGGGAGCCACACGGAGAAGTATATTGTATCTATTTTTCTAATTTGTTTTATAATCTGTAAGCTACCCAGAAGTAATTTATAGGGAAATGGGCAGCATAAAAATTAAATGAATGAATGAGAGAAAAATTAGAGCAGTTCAACTCCCAAGATGATATTGTTGATTTCAGAGCAAATATTTTGGAAAAAGTTATTTTAATGTGATTTAAACATGCATACAATTCTTTTACTGCAGAGTATTAATGAATTAATTTTTATGAATATCACAGATCATATAATGTGTCAGTTATTAATGTAGAGAATTTAAAAAATAATATTAGCATTTAATTTATAGTTATGTGAACCAGTTCTTTTGTCAGAACTACTGTTCATTAAACATAATTTTTTTTCTCCTTAGTTCTCAGTCCTGTGTAGAAGAGCCTGACCAGGAGCAAGCAAAAAGACAAAAACTTGGTAATATCTACTTTCTGTGGCAGTTTGTCATGACTGAATATAACTTCATAAATATTTGAAAGGATTTTATTCTTTTTCACAAAGTTTAACATCTATTTCAAAAGCAAATCGTAATAATTAGCAATTAGGAAAATGTTTTGAACTAAAAGGAATAATGTTCAACTCATTAAACTTAGTGCTGCCCAATCATCTTAGAATGTTTCACAGTCAAAACAATGCTGTTTCAAACTGAATGTTTGGAACAGTGCTGTAACACTTTTGGAAATGTGTAACCAGTTTTGAATTTGAAACAACTAAAGCCATGGGTAATAGAAGCTACTTTGTTGCATGTAAAAAACATCCTATGATATAGAATCATAGGAAATTGTTGCATAATTTAATTAGAACAAAAAGCAAATTTATTAAAATTAATGCCCATATGGGGAGGTTGTCTTATCCAGTATATGGAAACAGAATAAGGGGAGTAAAGTACTGAATTAGTGTAAAGCAGGGGGGTCAAACTGATGTTGTCACATCATCGTCATGTGACGTATCCCAATTTTTCCCCCTTTGCTAAACCAGGTGTGGGCATGGCCAGTGCATGATGCATCTGGCCCGTGGGATGCAAGTTTCACAGCCCTGCTGTAAAGCAATATAATAAAAAAGGCACCTAATGAAGAACACTAGATTGGAAGTGTAAAATTGGTGCAATCAGAAGTATTTTAAGAAAAATTAGGAAATGGAGAAGACAAGCCTGTGCTAAAACAGGCAAGTATCTGCTTGTCCAAATCCTCACTGAAGGATTTTAACAATAAGCAGCAACATCCATTTCTCATGATTTACTTTTATAATGAATTTTTGAAGATTCCCACAGTTAGGATATCTTTTCTATAACAGCAGGTGAGGTGGTTCTAATAAAAAAAGATAATCACTTCAATGTTTTGAATCATTTTGGGAATCTGGTGTTATATACATGAATGAATAAATAAAATGAATATCATATTTGAACCAAGATCACCTTGAGTGATCTCTACTAATACAAAATAAAAACTTTTCCCTTAAATCTTAGTACTTTCAATAGATTGTAGAATGTTAGAATAAAAGAACAGGAGGAAAATTTACTTTAATAAATATACCTCTTAAGCCAATACAATGTTATAAATAGGAAAGTGCTAAATGCTGTCATAGCAAATACATCCTTCCAGTACAATAAGACAAGTCAATGACATCACCCTACATGTGTTTTTTGGGTCTCAAAGTTTGTTTTGATCTATCACAGGGCTCCCCAAACTTGGCAACTTTAAGACTTGTGGACTTCAATTCCTAGAATTCCTCAGCCAGCATAGCAGCATAGTTGCCAAGTTTGGAGATTTCTGATCTTTCATATGAATTTTGACAAAGTAAGAATAACATTTGGAACAAAATTCATGTTGTATAAATTTTATTCCAGATGTTATTTTTACATTTGCCAGAGTTGAATCAAATGAACTCAGGAGTCCTTTCGTTTATAAATAGGATGTTGTTTTGTTTTGAAGGTCAGTATTTCTGACTATAATCTTAATACTTTTAACTTTTTCCAGATATTTTTGGTCTACTAACTCAAGGACTTGCCAGTCTGATTAAGATACCATCCCATTTAACAGCTAAATATCTTCAAGTTGGAGATCAATATGCTGAAACTACAAAAGAGGTTTGTGTGCCTTTTGAGAAGATAAAAATAAAGTGAAAGTATTTTGTTTGCAAATTAAATCTTTAGGTTTGTGATCTTTTGTCTTCTGGAATAGTAACATGATTAAATTAAACAGAGAATGGAATATATCATTTCCAGAAGTTGGAAACTATTCAAGCTAACATATATATTTTCTCCAGTTCTCCCCAGTAAAAATAGTTGGGCTGAGAAATAGAGGCCCAAGTCACCAAGTGAACTTCTGTATTTGGGAATTGATGTCAGCCTTGTGTCCTTAGTCTTAGTGTTACTATCTTAACTATCTCTACCTTATTTCACAAGCAGCAAAGTAAACTCTGAGCAAGGATAACTTTTTCAGTTTTCTCTTCTTCAGAAAGAAACAAAGCAAGCAAGTGCTCTTCTTGCTGGTCCTTAAGAGCTGCTGAATGAATGCATGAGAAATAAGTGCTAGTGAGTGGGAAAAAGCTTTCATTGTTAAGAGTTGAACAGGAAAGTAACATTCTTTCAAATGTAATGCCAGGCTCTTTTAGAGCTTTTTGGTGGCAGCTCAGAGTAGTGGTCTACATTTTTAGGCAAAGCAAGTATGTTACTCTTCTAGAGATCTTAAAGGGAAAACTCCCACGAATGGCACCTATATAGTTTTAAGATCACCAAGCTTTTGTGGCTGAGGGCCTTTGTTTATTTGACATAACTGAAGTAATACTAATGCAAATATTTTCAAGTTTCTTTCAAATGCTTCTGATGCCTTGGCTGACAAGCAGATGCAGCCTAACTCTGAGATGCAGTTGTGTAACTTTGGTAAGTCAATAGATAATGTGGCTATATTTCAGATCTAGTTATTCTAATGTATGGGTGTCAAACTTGATTTCATTGAGGGCTGCATCAGGGTTGTGTTTGATCTTGGGGGGGGCGGAGTGGGCATGGCCAGGATGGGTGTGGCCAGCTCAACATCACTCATATCGGGGGCGCCTGTGGTGGACCAAGTGGTCTGCTAGAAAAAACAGGCTCCCGAGCTCCATTTTCAGCTGCAACGCAGCCCTCCCGAGCTCCGTTTTCGCTGGCAGAGGCACCATGGGCCAATCCTCCACTGTTTCCAGGCTTCCCAGGCCAGATCTAAGCATCCTGCGGGCCAGATCCGGCCCCCGGGTCTTGACTCTGTTCTAATGGGTGTATTCATTTTCCTTTACAATAGTTGTAATTATTTTTGTGTTTGGTGAAGTACTTAACTCTTATATGGCATATTATAAATTGAAAAAATATTGATTTTTGATTTTGATTGAGAAGAAACTCATGTTATAATTCCTTTAAATTAGTGTGTGCTATTGACTTTACTTGCATTAAGATGCAATTTACTCTTATACATGGTATTCCATTGCTTATAGGTATTGGGTCTACGCTGAATGTTCTTAGCTAGTTATGGGCACTTCTTTTACCACTTCCTTCCCTAATGTGCTTCGTATATATTGAGCTTTTCCAGGTCTTTGATGCTGTAATATGTATCTCTTGTATTGTTTGTGTTTAGATCAGTTGATGAAAAGTGTTCTAGAATGCTGCAGTTTCCTTATAAGTCAATTGTTGGCAGACTCAGTGGATTGCATCATATAACCATTCCTAGCCAATACATTTGCCCATGTTAAAGAGTTTTGATATGTCTTTGATATGACAGACTTGAATAATTGCTTGGAGTAGAGCCATGTAAGATCAAAATGATGATTGTTGTCTATGGAATTAGTTGTGATGAATCATACTATCTTTTCCATAGATAAAAAAGCAAGTTATGGTACCTGTATTCATCCAGATGTAGCATCTGACTCTCGTATTCCTGTGACTTATATGAGGTAAAAAAATTTATTTTCTTTGGTGGCCAACAGAGAATGAGATTCTAAGAACACATGGCCATTACAGTACTCCCCTTTGAAGTTTTTTCTCTGTCTACTCTAACATAAATAATTAGTTATTGAACCTGGCAAAAATATGACATATTACAAAATACAGAATAACAGTTGGAAGGGACCTTGAAGGTCTTCTAGTCCAACCTCTGCTCATGGAGGAGACCCTATATCGTCCCAGACAAATGGCTATCTCTTAAAAACCTTCCATAATGGAGCACCCATAATTTCTAAAGGTGTTGTTTCATTGAATAATTGTTTTTAGTCACAGGAAATTTGTCCTTAATTCTAGGTTGGTTTTCTGTTTATTAAGCTTCCATTCATTACTCCTTGTCTTGCCCTCAGTGACTTTGGATAATGGGTTTATCCCCCTCCTCTCTGTGATAGCCTCTTAAATATTGGAAGACTGCTACCATGTCACCCCTACTTCTCTTCGTCAAATTAGATATTCCTAGTTCCTGCAACTGTTTATGATACAATTTAACCTGCACTCCCCTAATCATCTTTGTTGCTGTTCTCTGCACTCTTTCTAGAATCTCAAGATCTTTTGTATTGTTATGCCCAATACTTGACTCAGTATTCCAAATATGGACCTACCAGTGCCATTGCTATATTACTAATAATATACTAGTATATTATTTATTTCATTCCTGAAATTAGTATTGCAGTTTAGAAAACATTTTCTAACAAGCTACCTAAAATTTCCATTGGGATTGAAGTAATCTCAAGGATTTTGCATTCATTGCTTTGCAAACTTGTTCTAATTTAATGTTAAAAGTGTGATGATTATTTTAAAAATGAGAAGAAAAATAGACTTTTCCTAATATACAGACCTTTATGCAGGTGAATGTTTAATTTATTAAGTAGAACTTTGAGGAATAAAAATGGACTTCATTGTGAGTAATCATTTCAGTTGACTTCACTAAGTTTCAAAATGCAGTGTTTTGTTTGTACACACACAGATGCACACAGATATATTGAATGTATTCATTACATTGTTTATTATTAAAAGAATATACATATATACACATATACATATATACATACTTACATACACACACTTATCTATCTATCTACACACAAACACACACACACACCAACAACTCTGGTGGTTTGGGTTGAGAGTAAGTAATTGGCCTAAAGACCCCTCCACTGGCTTTCATGGCCAAGGCAGACTTGAACTCACAGTCTCCTGCTTTCTAGCCTAGTGCCTTAACCACCAAGTGACCAATCTGGCTTTATCCTCATCCTCAATTTAGGATGCAAGGTGAATTAATGCATACTCTTGCAAAATATTCTTTATTGGGCATTCTACATGAGACACAAACCTGCCTTACAAGGAGTTTTCATTTATGGATGTAGATTAAATACTACAGAAAAAATGTTTCTAAATTGTATAGAGTTCAACATCAACTCTATACATTTGGCCATCAAACATTATGTGAACTTAGAAAAAAAATGGAATAATCAGGGGAAATGTGTGAAAGGGGAACTATAATTAATTAGGTTTTCTCTGACATTTTTTATGTGCAAAATAACAGTAGCTTGAATCATTGTCACTGAAATAATATAAATAAGAATAATTCATCTTTAGCAATCCTCAAATATATGCCTTTTTCAAAATGACATATTATCCAAATAGAAATGCAAATGTCAGCAGTGTATTTATAACTTGATCTTATTTTTTTCTACCAGAGATGACTTTAGTTTCAAAAACATTAATAAGAAAACTCATAATGTGCTTCAAGAGGATTTGCGGCCATGGAGGCATATTACTCACAGACATTCATTAGAAGCTTCTGCTTTAGAGACTGGAAGGTATCTAAGGAAACCTCATTCTACCGTGGAAGAGGCAAGTCTGCAGCTATATAAACTTGTATTTTAAACCATCTTTTATAGCAGATACATTGCTACAAAATATTTGAATATGGTGCTTGATTCAATGATGTGAAAGCAGTTTCTTTCAGGCAGAATGTATATTAAATTGATTGAGCTATATTAGAAGAAGAATATATGTAATACTTATCCCACGAAGAATTTTGATTGAAGTCAAGACACTTCCACCTCCTGTTCAAACAAACTAATATATTACCATGACAAAGTACTTTGTACTTTCTTTTTGTTGCCTTTAGCCTCTCACTTTTGTAAGTGTGATTTTGGGCCATTCATTTTTGTAACTGATTGTGTGTGTATGGGGGTGTATGGTGTATGCTTCAAGTGGCTCCGTTATCTGGATATTTGAGAGAAGCTGCTGACATTCTGTTCATGTCTAATAGTGAAAAATTACATTGGCAGTATTAATACTAGGGTGCTTATTTAAGGAAATAGTCCAATTTCATCTTTTACATGTGTGCTTTTTTGTATACATATGTGCACAAATACACCAATGCAGGTATACCCATCCTTCCCAGGGCCCAGGATATTCTAATTAGTGCAGTTGGCTGATATTCTGCAGATTCAATAAAAGAGCAGAAGTAATTCAGCCCCAATTCCTTTATCAGCTCAGCACAAGCTTGAATTTGACATCATACCCATATCAAATTCAATTTCTCATTGTCCATTAACATCAGTCCAGATATCTCTTTGCCTGCTTAATTTCGTAGAGATCTTTGCACAGGGTCAGTAGCTGGAGAGAGGCTGCTTAGAGATAATCCTGTCTGAGGGTCTGGTTGCCTCTATGTTCCAGAAATTAAAACGGGACTCAACATATATGTCCTCCAGATTTCTAGGAAGACCCCAAAGAGTGTCTGAAACCGCTGCAGATCCATAAGGCTTCTAAAGTGAACCATCTGAACAAGTCTTTCCTCCCTGCTGAATCTGGTGGCTCTACTTAACTCACCATCAGGAGAAAGTAAAGATCATTAGAAAGTCCAATCCTACCCCATCTGCTACAGGAAAAAGGCTAGATCTAATGGGTAGCTAGTATGGTAGGCTGGCCAGTGATAAGATAGCCATGGCTGTCAAGAAAATTTTGAGCTTTCTTCAAATCCAGGAGGAGATTAAATTTGCCAGTATCAATAGTCTGACATAATCCATAAGCACACCTACACTAAGATCAAACAGTTTGGGAAAAGATATGTCATGTAGTTGGGGAAACAGTAGAACAGCAGCAACCTCAGTCTGCCTCTTTGGCAGTCCTAACTAACATCACATCTGCTAAACCTGCAGAATAGTGTTTATTGCAATGCCAAAGGTCTTCGGATATATGCCAATTGGGACGGATGCCAAGTAGAGAACTTTACTGAAGGAATCTCAGTGTCACGCCCTTGTTGGAGACGGACTCTGAGGGAGAGGAGGAACAACCAACAGGGAGTGGAAGTGTGGCTCTGGAGGTTGTAGAGGAGGCTGGGGAAGGGCAGAGGCCAGCTGGGCAGTCAGAGGAAGACCCAGGCCCATCCCCTCTCCATCCTAGGGCACGCAGGGAGGAGAGGATAAGGGAGAGATGGGAATGGTGTGGTCTACAGGGGAGGAAAGGGCCTTGATCCTCTCTATGGGCTGCAGCTGTGAGAACTGGTTAAAAGGACAGACATGCGTATGGGACAGTGGTGGAAATAAAGTGTGGAAATATCTCTAGTTTGTTGTTCCTTTCTGAGTTTGGCATCTTTCCCAGTGTGTGTTCCGATATCTGTGGATGTCTTCAAGCCCTTATCTTGCCTGGTTTCCTTAATTGTTTCAGTGTGGTTTGTGTTGTTTTTACTTTTTCTAATTTATAAGCATTTTTAGTTTAAACGGCATTTTCTCCTTTCCGTAATTGTTTGTGGGGGAGTTTTTTGTCCCCAGTCAAGGGTATTTGGAGCTTTGAAGCAAAGTGAAGGAATAAAAGGAGCTTCATCTGTTTTTGGGACTTTGTTTATTTTGTATCCCACCCTGGGTCATCATACTCAGGAAGGATGACCTTTTGTTCATCCAACTAAATCTCAGAAACACATGCTGGTTTGCAGCCCCATCCACAATCATGTCTTGTGCATGGAGATTTCAATCAAAAACTTGAGCTTGAGGCTGGAGGGTCTAGCAATCCAGTTGTCTGGTTCCTGCATTGACATTGGTGGGTAGGAAGTAGATAAAATGATTTCCCTGTTTTATAGAATGAAATCTCAAGCATAGTACCAAAGGGCACACTTAAAATATGAATTTTAAGTGTTAAGTTTATTATACTCTTAAACACAATAGTAATAATTGTTTTATCCTAGGGAGTTCAGAGACTGGAGCAAGAGAAATACAAAGAACTACTTAAGCAAGAAAAAGAAAAGAGTCTTAAAATTCACCCTTCTGGTGCAGTAGCAAAATACCATAAGTAAGTTCTTCCAGAAAAATAACATTTAAAGCGAGGCAATGAAATAAACTGGAAAAGCTATTGGAATTTTTCAGGCTGGATATTGTGATTAGAAATACCATCCTAAAGTATATGATATATTAGTTTTGGTTGCATTCATATTCCACTCTAAGTTTAAATCATGATTTAATGAATTAGAATGTCCACTAGAGGTCCTGTTTTACCATTTCACTTCACTCTTCATACATGTGATAAAACAAGTCAGGATCATATATAACCTGTTTCTAGAAATGATATCTGAACTGCAGATATGTGTTTCTAAGATAAATTTAAAGCTGTTGTAAATTCAGACTTGTTTGCAATTATTACATGTGATATTATCCTGTTAAAATGTGAAATATTTGTTACCTATATAAAAATTTTTATCTTTGAAATCTATGGAATATCTACCGTATAAGCCTATTAATGATTAAATTCTAGTATTAAATATGTTGATATGAAATATGTTGTCAAAACCTTTTCCTTAACAAAACATTACTTGTTCTTTCAAATGCATTGAATAAAAGTGTCCAAGATTATGCCACTGGATCCTTAAAGTTTGATCTCATCCCTTCATCTGAAATGCCAAGAAATGGTAAGTAATAATAGTGAAAAAATGTTTATAGAAGCAAAATAAGTTACAATGTAAGTGGGATATTAAATGAAGGATTGGAATCTTTCTAATAATATATAGTTACTATAAGTGAAAAAATAGATTACAGTATAATAAAACACTGATGATGTGTATCCCTGGCCAAAATATAATTGCAAGATGAGTGGCATATTTACCTTTGTACTTTAGTTATCAGTATTTTTTTAAAAAAATTGTAATCTTGTCTTGATATTTCATACTGGTAAACATTTGATATGTTATATAATTCAGGGTCCATCACTTGCCCTTGTTAGTTTATAAAAATGGTCTCCAGTTGTATCTGTAACCCTTCTACAGTATTTTCGCTCTTAAACTTCTCTCACAAGCCTTGCAGTAAGCATTTACTTTCATTGAGATATTTGAGTAAATTAAGATGAGTATCTTAAAGTTATCTGTCCAGTGGATTGAGATAAACTATTCAATGGAGATAACATTAATTACCTAGTTCAAATGATCTCAACACCTCGTCTAAATTAACTTGTTAGTTTTTTTAATGCTATCTTTTCTTCAAGAACTTCTTCATTCTTTATTTTTTCCACACAATTGTTACCAAATGAATAAGACACGATTGAAAGGCAGTGTCTTGCCCAGCCATTTAGTGAGGATTTAAACCCATAACCAGAAGCTTAAATACTACGTCACACTGGTATCTAAATTTTCCATTTCTACATCTAAAATGACTTCTGTCATCTTAACTATCCCTCTTAACTTAATCACAAGGCAGATTCAGTTTGGAAGAGGTGTTTTGGAAAGCATGAGTGTGGATCCAGCATCTTTCTGCAACTTGTTAAGAGCTACATTTTTTTCAAGATTGAATAGTTGCTAGGAGGGAGGTACTTTCATATATTCCAATACATTTTCCAAATCAAATCAAATCAAAACATTGCCTAACTCTACTGCATTATAATAGTATCAAGCATCATATAAACTTTCTAAAAAAGTAATATATCCTTCAAGTCAAGCTCAATTCCCAATAATTTCATAGACACAACCATGCAGTTTCCCTAGTAAAAATACATGTGGCTTGACATTGCCTCCTTTGGGGTTTCTTTTTCAGTTTGAATCTGGCCTGCAGTTCTCATTGATTCTAGTACTGTAGGGGAGTAGCTTTGAAGTTTATTACTTTTTCATTGCAAAAGAACAAGAAAAGGGGTATATTAATTTTTATTTGAAGTAGGCAAGATGATTCTTATATTGCTGCCTATAGACATCACTTTTGATTCTCAGCAGGTTTGTGCTTCATCTTTTTTTTTTAATTCCTTTAATTTAAAAAAAAAGGAAAGTTAATGACAACACAGGTAGTTCTCAGCCTACAATCATTCATTCAATTACGGTGGTGCTGAATGAATGGTGGTTATGAACAGTCCTTGGAATCCCAGTCATTCCAACACCCTACGGTCATATGATGGTGATCTGGGCACTTGGCCATAGATTCGCACTTATGACTGGTGTTCACAAATCACCATTTGCAATCTTCCCTGCTATCCTCACACCAGCCACTGACACATCCCTGGTGCATCTTCCCTGACTCATGCCATACCTCTAATGTACCCAACCTGGGCTGCAGCTCACACACACCTAAGGATACTTAGCTATATCTAAGCTAGATAGACTAGTGGAAAAGATGCTCATTAGTTTGCTTTTTCCATGAGACCTGGTATGAAGATAGGATTGGGCCAGGAGCAGGGAGACACAGTTTCTAATCCTCCCTGAAAAGGGAAGCTCACTGCCGTCAAGTGTTGGAAGTATAACCAGATTCCAGGTACTTATTGTATGTGGTGGACTTGTATGAAAGCAAGAAAATATTGGACAAAAATACATACATGGCTGGAAAAGATGATCAAGCAATATATAGATCTGAAGCCAGAAATGTTTTTGTTGGGTATAATGCCGGAGGGCTATGATAAAGGAACTGTATACCTAGTTTTGCATGTATTGACAGCAGCGAGGATTGTATTTGTACAATATTGGAAAAATGAGAACATTCCATCAGATGAGGATGTAATTCAGAAAATCTTGGACTGTGCAGTGATGGATAGATTGACATTAAAAAGAAAGGACAAAGGGGGTACAGAATATTACTCAGCATGGGATAGATTTTATGAGTGGTTAGAGATAAGAGATAGAAATAAGATGAAGAAAGATTCTTACTATGTATGGACTACATATAAAGATGGTTTATAACTACAATATAACAACAGGATTACAGATAAGCTAACATAAAGATAAATTTAGTTAAAATTATTCTGTTGCACCATTTCTATTGTTATTAGTATATATGTTACTATTTCTTTTTTTCTTCTTCTGTAAATGATATGCCCTGACAATACACTATATTCAAAATGTTTATGAAAAGAAAGAAAGAAAGAAAGAAAGAAAGAAAGAAAGAAAGAAAGAAAGAAAGAAAGAAAGAAAGAAAGAAAGAAAAGCTCCTGGGTGACTTTGAGCCAGTTATTCCCTCTCAATCTAACCTATTTTACAGGGTGGAGGTTGTAAGAAACAATAAGAGGAGGGTGCATTATATATACTACTCTTCATCTCTTAGACAAAAAACAAGTTATAAATCAAATGAAATAAAAAAGTGGAAGTTTTTGCTGTTGACCATATTTGTCATTCTAATGTGTTGTCAAAATTTAAAATAGCTCCCCAAAATTACTTCATTTTTTAAAATAAAATATTTTAATTAAATATTTGAAAAGTTTTATTTGCAAAAATATATTAATGTCTAGGTAATCCTGATTATTTAAGTAAGTTTCTGTTTTGGTAAATACTTTTTTCCCTAAAATATATGATTTCAATTTCTTGATAATATTTTGTAGGAAGGGAGCTGTCCAAGTATATGTTGGCTAAAAATTAAAAGGAATCTGGTGGGACCTTTTCAAATGAATTTAATTGAAAATCATAAGCTTCAGTAAATTTTGTTTCATCTAAAGTTGTGTAGTTCACAAAGGTATATGCCTTTAAATAAAATGTGTTAGTCTGAAAAAGTGTAACAGTGCCTTTTGATTTTTAGTACTATTTTAAATATATATAATTTAATTCTGAGCAATTTTTAATATTAAAATACATCTGCCATACAAGTTTATGCACTTTTATATGTATGTATCTATATATCAGAAACCATTATCGAAAAAGAACTAAAAAGGCCTATGAAATGTCACTACAAATGTAATTGATCTCTCATTTATAGATAACAATTATTCTCTCTTATATGCACAAATTGATCTCACATTCATTTTAGCCGAAGCAGCAGAAAAAGAAAAAAAACCATAATTATAATTGCTTCCTATTTGTAGGGAATGAGTTACTGGTTTGCATCAGTAACTGAATTCTTTAAAAAAGCTTTCTTTTCTAGGCTAATTACTAAGAACTGAAAGAATACATCTGTAAAATGTGTGAGACAACCAATGCTGCTTTAAAATATTACCAATGCATAGGGAGGGCAACTGAGTTATGTTTATTATATCCTTTCTTTAAGGAATCAAGAACTTCGGTCACTTGGGCTCTAAAAATGATATCAGCAAGTAAGTGAAAGTTCATTGATTTATAATTTGTGGTGTTAAGAGAAGATTGGAACCTAGGAAATATTTGCATCAGGTTTCATTTTTCTACTTTTCTCAGGAGTAGTGCCCTTTAGCATCAAGTGTCATAAGTGGAAGAACAAAGCTCTCATATCTAAATAGTTATGTGCTACTGTGAGCATTTATTCTATATATCATATTTTGGCATCTATCTGTGTCATGAGCCATGAGCATTTGTGCTATAGATAGAGACATTCTGGTTCAGGGTGAAGTAAATTTGAAATTGGATGTTACATATTAGCTTTAGTACATATTTACAAAACAAAAAATTTGGAGAGACAAATTAAAATGAAAAGCTCTTTGATATTTTTCTATATTTTGAAAATATAGTTCATGTAGTATAATTTTAAACATTTCATTTGATAATACTGTTCTGGAACTTTTCCAGTGAAAGACACAGTAATTAGATGTTTGTAAACTCTAGAGCTATCCTGTAGTACTGTGACTTAACATTGATATCTGAGCTTTACTGGGTTCTGTTAATTGATAGATTGTGATTAAACAAAAAGCACAAAAACAATGTTCTGTGTTACAACTTTTGTGAACACATTATTAGGAGAAAGTAAAGTTTAGATTAAATAACTGGTGGCACTTTCTTTAGGAGCATTGATTCTACCTAACATTTTCGGTCCCTGATAATCAGACCTGCACATGAGCATGCAAATATTTATTTTGGCTTAATCTTTCTTACAAAATTGCTTTAACCTATTGATATTTTTGGGCCCTCTTGCATGAACTGTTTGCTTCTGATTATGCCATGAAGTTCCGTTGGATTAAGTCCAGAGCTTTGTTTCATCCATTTCAAAATACAGAATTTTTCTACTTTAGCCATTCTGTTATAAATGTACATGCTCTGTTTAGGATCATTGTTGTGTGGCTTGAGCCCAATTCATTTAAAATTCAACTCACAGGCAGATACCCTGACATCCTTCAGTAGAATTGGCTAGTAAATTATATTGTTCCCTCAATGAATCCATTGTTCCCTCAATGAGAGCAAGGTCTCTGGATCCTGAGGCTACAAAGCAGCTGCAAACCATACCATTTCCACTGCTATGCTCCAGAGCTAGTTAACTTCTTTTGTTGGACTGCAAGATTTGATTCTGTCCTAATACCATGTTTTACTTTAATGCATAAAACGTCCATTTTCAATTGATTCAATGACATTGCAGAATCAATTTTTCATTGCGAAACTCCTTTTTCAAACTTAAGATGGGCATGGATGTGCTTTTTGATAGTGATGATTTCCTCCTTGATATCCTCCTGTAAACATTACTTTTGTTCTCCAAAGAAAATCCAGAAAATCCAGTTGGCTCTTGAAAAAGCACCTTTGGATTACTTTTGTTCAGTGGTTTGTGTATGATAAATTTATGACTGCTGACATCAGGTTACAGAGGAATGACCTGTAGATCCTTTGCTGTTACTCTGGCATTCTTTGCAGCCTTTTGGAATACTGTATGCCTTGCTCTTGTGGTGAATTTTGTTGGACACCTGTTATTGGAAATTCATCACAGTGTGTTTTCTCCATTTTTATATTTTGCTATCTAACCATTGATGGTAATTTTGTAAACCTCCCATTCTGATGACCATTGACAACTATTTTTCAAATTCTGTGAGTCTCTCTGGATCAAGACATCATTCACTTCCATAAACCTGTGTCATGAAAAGCAGACACAAAGAAAATGAGTATTGGCATATAGTGTGTTCGGTAGATCATGACATGGAATTATTGTGTTTTGGTTCTTAACCAGAATCTCTTCTAGTTAAAAATATAGATAGTCTAGAATAGATGAAGGTCTCACCTCATTAATAGAGCCTAGTGTTGTAGGATCATAGATAATTCTAACATGTCAACAGGCTTTCTCTCATCACTGTACTACTTAACATGTTTACAGATTTTAAATATTTAACCAAACTTCAAATTCTAGATCCTTTTTATAAAGTTGTAGTGATTTTCTAATACTTAGGCAATAACATTTTTGTGTAAAAGGATGAGCCACTGAACAATGTGTAATTTAGTTCTGCTTCGTTCTTTGTATTCCACTATAATTGGCATTCATAGGATTATTCTGTAGGACAACATTAGCTTAGCAGATATAAAATGCTTGTAAAATTCTTTCTGATAATAAAAGTGTTTCTTTCTACTTTTGTAATACTCCCAGTAATATCTTTGTCTGTATGTTTCTATCAGGTCAATAACAATAGCAAAAAGAATAACAGAACATGAAAAGGTATTTGAACAGAAAAAAGAGGTGAGATGCGCTCTTTATTGTCATACTTTTTTCTTTTTTTTCTTTTACATTTTATTAATAATTACTTTGGAATTCAATTAAATTTGTAACCAACATAATGTCATTAAAATAATTACAAGAAATGAAATACATTACAATTATGTTGGTTAAAATGCCATCATTAATTTTCAAGCACCATTCAAGCTAGCCTTCTGAAAATTTTCAACCAAGTATTTTTCTTGCATTTCAGAATCTTAACTTTTCCTTTTCAACCCTTTCCCTAACAATAATGATAATGAGCACATAGAATAGAAAGCTTGCAGTCTCAAATCTCCTCTGTCAGAATGCCTCTGGGTTTTCTCAGCCTGGGTCTATCTTCTGCTTTAGGATAGTGTCTTGATAAATCCTGCTGCCATTGCCTTCTAAAGTAGCCTCATCTGGTATCCTAGTCCCTATCCCTGATGTGTCAGAAAGAGAGGGCTATCACTCCCTGTGCTGTGGTAAATATACAAAAAACAAGCACCTTTGTCCCTCCTTGGGAAATAGAACAATGTCACCAGAAATTTAAAAAATCAAACTTATTTAAAAATGTGAAGAATCCTTCCTAATTTTAAATATTAAAATTTTGAGAAAGACAAATTACAGAACTCTCAAATTACAATGATACTACTGAGAATTTAAGTAAAAAGGAACTATTCTCCTCAAAATCCAGCACCTTAGACAAATTCCAAGATGCCAGTGGTCTGCTGTATAATTGGATGAGATAAAAGTTAATTTCCAAATTAAAGTTACTAGTTTAGCCCAAATAGAGAGGATGGAACAAGGAAAAAATTCAAGAGTGCCCTAGCTTGATTTATTTAGTTAGAAGAGAAGGGAGAGAGAGAGAGAATCTCTGTTAAGCTTTTAAGATTCTATTATTATACCCTATAATGGTAGAGTTCCATTTTAAAAAAAATATCTTTAAATCATTATGGCCACCTACTTGAACAGATTCTGGTCCACTTACAAAATCTGAAAAACAGTTTAAAACATAAGGACAACTCAGGCTAAGACAACCATAACAACAACAAAAAACTACAACAAGGCTTCTACAATCATGTTAACCCTAGGTCTTAAAACTCTTCAGGAGAGAGGCCACTGTCCATATCTCTAAGGGAGATGCTGTTCCAGAAGGCAGAGTCTGTGATAGAGATGTCATACACTTTCCCAGTCCTGAAAGATCACAATATTTCATAGATTGGGCCTGTAGCACACTCTTTATCTCAAAGATAGGCTGGGATAATCTCAGAGAGGGAGGGAAGGATTATTGTTTAAAATCTCTTAGCTACCTTTGAGTAACCTTTGTGAATATTCTCTTCTTGAACAATTTGTCAATCTTAATAAATTAAGATTTAAATACTTGGCATAATGTTATAGTAAGTATATGTTTACTTCTAAGGAACATCATGGAGTCTGAGAACTTGTTTAGTTCTGACAAGTAAAATTGTTAGATGCCAAGTTTTTGTTTTATCTCCAATACAACAGGTTAATATTGTAATATACACTGTACTAATAGAGCGTTTTCCTGTTTTTCATGTAGAAGTATATTGATTAAAATGAAATTACCTTTTCTGGACATGGATAATCTGCATTGTTAAATGTATAATGTAGAGTAAAAACCAGAATGATGGTTGTATTTTTTTAATGACTTGCTGAAATTGTTTAGATTTTTTGTAACTGATCTATAAGTGTATTTTTTAGGATTCCATTCCAAACCAGCTGGAATTGTACAGTCAGGAACCATTCTAGGAAATTAGTTGTATAGGTTCAGGGTGGTTTAAAATGTGTGTTGCCGAAGGGTGGGGAAGAAAAGGAAATAAATAGGAGATTATAACTCAGTGACATGAATTTCATTAATTGCAGGTATAAGATTTAAGCTCAGTCCCTGATGAATTCCCGTTCCACATCAGTTCAGATACGATGCGGACAATCATGACTTAAGACCCTAGAACTTTACTGTTGGAATAGATAATACTGGACTTGGTACACAGTCTGTTATGAGGTAGTTTCCTATGTTCAACTCTGCTAAAACCTTCCATGCCGTTAACTGCAGTGCTAAAGAAGCAGTTGCAAGCCCCTAACCTGAACATTTTACTATGTGTCAGGTAGCCGGGCATATTCCAAGAGTGAGAAAAGGAAAGAATAAACCCTTCAATTTTTTTTCTTCCTTGAAAGTCAACCTCATGCTACAAGGGAAAAACCAAGCCTTCTTTTTTATCCCATGTCTCAACCTCAGGGAACCATAAACTCATTACTTTTCCCTTTCCTCTTTTAAAGTTTACCATAGTTTATAAGCCAAAAGAGTTCACTGTGGGGAAAAATACACAGTGTCTCAACTGAATGATCCTTTTTTTCTACCAGTTTGATTGGAAAGGGATTTCCTTGTTTGTTGTTTTATAAAGAAGCTTTTGATGGGATTCTTTTGTTTCTTGAAGGATTCCTTTCCATGAACAATTCAATTTGATTTTGCAGTTTTCCCCCCATTTTCTTTACAGAGGTCAGTGCAGCCATTGATGGGAAATGATCTATCAGAAGAAGTATCACTTAGATTAAGCTTGGTCCAGAAAGAATTATCATGCAGAAGACATTCTCTGGCTGAAATAAGAGAAAAGTATCGGAGTTTGGAAAAAGCTACAGAGTGCTTCCCTGAGTTTACAAAGGTAAGACTAAGTTTACCTGAAATTAGGTCCAGATATGTTCTGCCTTTATTGTCCCCAGTATAGGGATGTAACTTATTTCAAGAAATAGTCATTCAAATTAGATTATACTAAAACTGTTATTTTCAGTATAAAGTATGCAAGAAATAAGATATTTGTATTCACATTTTTCTTTACAAGATAAAACAAACTGAATATGTTGTTTCTACCCTTGCTTCACTTCCTCAAAATGAGTAAGTTTAGTTTTAAAATTAACTGTTTATGACCTTCATAGTATAAAATGTTCTTCCAGGATATGGAAAAAGAGATAACAAATGCTCTGAGCTATGGTCAGGATGATGAAATTTTGACTAGCGCCTTCAAGCTGAATATTACACGAAGAGACATTCAAACGTTAAGAAACCAGCAGTGGCTCAATGATGTGGTAAAATAATTTTTCTCATTAATAGCTAAAGTTTCATTAGTCCTTTGTTGTAGAAATCGCTGTAATGCGCTATCACAGGGTTGGAAAGCTGACCTAGAGGCCTAAATTGCCCATCAGACCAGTATATCTGGCTTGCAAAATGTTGAGTGAGGTCATCTCAGTCACTTTCTGCTTTTGCCGTAATTTCCCTCATAAGAGACAGATGGAAAGGCAGCACAGTGCCACTTTATCTGCTTCAGGACAGTTTGTCCACTGTGCATCTTCCTAAATAAGGAAAATGTGATCGTTTTTTAAGCTTCTTTCATCATACCTTATTCAGGGTAGGTGGGAACTGGAACTGCCCTCTGGACTGGATTACTTCCCTTTTTTACCTTACTGAATTGTAACTTCCTGAGCCCTTTGTATGTCTTACAGGAAGTTCTCATTTAGTAACCACAATCAAAATAATCTGATTTAACTTCAGTCATTATGTGAAGCAGTTAAGTCGAACCACAGCTTTGCTTCTGATTTTACATCAGTTTTTTTTTACAGGCCTGTGAAGGTCATAAATGTGAGGATTGGTTACTTTTTCTTACTGTAGAATTGCAAATGATCGATATACAAGGCAGTCATTAAATGAGGACTGTCTGTACACTATTTCAAGCATACTAATAAAAACCAATTCTCAGGGCTATTTTTCAAGAATAGAAATATTCCAATAAAGGCTTTGTGGGAATATCTGTAAAAATAGGCCTGAGAATTAATAGCATTTTATTCGTACATTTGAAGTAGTAGATATATGTATATGTATGTGTGCATTTCCTTCTCTTCTCTCTTCTCTCTTCTCTTTGATTATAGGTCATTAATTTCTATATGAATCTTCTGGTTGAGAGAAATAAAATGCCGGGATTTCCAGTACTTTACGCGTTCAGTACTTTCTTCTATTCCAAGCTAAGTTCTATGGGTTATAATGCAGTAAAAAGATGGACCAAAGAAGTTGACTTATTCCAGCATGACATAATCTTGGTGCCTATTCATATCAGACTACATTGGGCATTAGCGGTAAATACATTTTGGCTTTTCTGAAATTCTTTGGGTGATGAGGATATAATGTGATGGTTGCCTGCCAGATTCTACTAAAATCTTCACTTTGTTGTAGGTTATAGATTTGAGGAGAAAAACTATCAAATATTTTGATTCAATGGGACAAAATGGCACCAGGATCTGCATGAGATTGTTGTAAGTAAATGTCTAGTGGTACAAAAATATCCCTTTTTACTTTTTCTATTAGATTGATAGAATAAACCATTACTTCTCTTGACCGCTGTAAACTTGGTGTGGATTTTTTTCTCTCTTTTTATGTATTAAAAATGCACCATGCAAAACTTTATTATCTCTAAAGAGTGATGATCTTAATCCTTAAGGGAAAATGTTATCACTGTTTGCTATGATTTTATTGAACAGACAATATCTGCAAGAGGAAAGTAAAGCGAAGAAAAACCTGGATATTAATATTTCATCTTGGACACTTTACAGTATGAAGCCTCATGTATGTGCAACTTTTTTTTTTCATTTCTACTGTGGATCTCAAGTTCTAAACTTCTAAAACGGTAGTTTCAGCAAGATTCAAGTATTCATTTAGGAATAAATATTTAGTCTTCACACAGACACAATTTCCCTTCTATACTGATTTCATTACTTGAGTTGTGGCTTCTTCAAGCCACAGCTTCCTTATTGCATATGAAATAGGTCTGTGGTTTAAAAAACAACTCATAATTAAAGCACTTCAGAGACATCGGAAGATGTGTTGGGTAAGAGAAGGTGTTCAGGGCTGATTTACGAAATCATAGATTTTTAACTAGGATTATTATATCTAGACTGGATTTGAGTGCAAAATATAGATGCAGTGAAGTTCTATTTAAATGGATATTTGTGTAGTTTCTGAATATCCAGCATAAACCTACAGTTGTTTATCAAAAATAAAATATCTTGTATTAGGTGATTTAAAAACGGGTGTCGAACTTGATCACGTGACGTGACGTATCGCAATGTTTTTTGCCTTTACGGAGCCAGAGTGGGTGTGGCCTGCACGTGATGCATCCTGCCCACAGGCCACCAGTTTAACAGGCCTTTTCTAAAACATCACGTGATATTCCAGTCATTGGTGATGCGGGGAGAGATCCCACCTTCAGTTCATACTGTGTTGGGTGTTGCACGGGTTTGATTCACTGACCATCAACATTTACACAAAGTTGCTGGGTGAGCTCATCTGTCACCATGGGTTGAGATGCCATCAGTACTCTGAGGATTCCCAATTATTCATCTCTGCCTCTGACAAATTAAGTGTTTCTGTGCACATTTTATCTCGTTGCGTGGAAGCTATGAGAGCCTGGATGGGTAAAACAGACTTCAACCGAACTCTGGAAAGACTGTGTGGCTTGGGATTTGGGCGGTGCCAGTTCCAGGTTCATTCTATTTTTGCTGCTGGATTCTGGGTGTAATCTCGTAGTCTTCCTGGAATTAGGACTGGCTGAGCCAGGGGGAGGAATTAAAAGAGGGATCAGCTTAGAGTTGTTACATAGCCACAAGTGCACTAACCCCCCTCAAATTCCATTGATCCTTATCTAACTCTAACCAGGTGCTGTTTCCTGGTGCATAAGCTTTTAGCAAAAAAATCAGTTAATCTGAACCTTCAGGTGCAGATGTGGTTTTTCAGACCTGATAGCCTTTGCACAACTTCATATTATCATATTGTTCCAAGATTGGAGGCTCTACTCACCATCACTCATGCGCTAGTCACCTCCCAATTGGATTACTGTAATGCCCTCTTCATGGGGCTGCCCTTGAGAGTATCCGGAAACTTCAGCTGGTGCAAAATGCAGCAGTGCAGGGCAGTTATATGTATCTCTAGAGCAATACAAGTTAACACCTCTGCTCCATGTGCTGCATTAGTTACCAATTTGTTTCTGGCTCCAACTAAAGGTGCTGGTTTTGACTTTTAAAGTCTTACATGGCATGGGTTGGGTTTTCTGAGGGACTGTCTCTCCCTGAATATTCCACCAGATTCAGCAGAAGAAGCATGCTTATGGGTCCTGTATGGGAGCTGCATTTGGTGAGTGCCACTTGCTTTATGGAAATTCCCCTCCCCCCTCGAATGAACTGGCTCTGTCCCTGATTTTCCAGAAGTCCCTCAAAATGTGGTTATGCCATCAGGCCTGGAGATCCCAGGAGACTAATGAGATATTGAAGTGGCTCCATGGTTGTTAAAATCTGTTGTTCTCTCTGAGACATGGGTTTTTCTTTTTTAAAAATAATTGTTTTTATATATTAATTGTTTTAGGAGGAATTTTCTGTTTCTTAAAGTATAGGTTGTTACCTAAATTTTCTGAAATTGAGCAATCAATTTAGATGCCTGTTTAGTTGATGATCGATTATAGAATTGCTATACTATAATCTCTTAGGTTTCAGTGATCTCTAATTTAAATAAAACAAGAAAAAGTTAATAGGCTTTCCTATATATTCTTTTTTTTTAATCTTAGGAAATTCCTCAGCAATTAAATGGAAGTGACTGTGGAATGTTTACTTGCAAGTTTGCAGACTTTGTCTCTAGGGATAAACCCATTGCATTTACACAGGTGAGTTGAAATGCTTCAAGAAACAATTTTCATGCTGCTCTCTCTTGAGATAGGTATTTATTTGTTATTAGTGCTGTGGTGGAAACAGTAGGCTGATTATTATTATCTCACTGAATAAGATGCTCAAGCTTGGAATTGTTAATTACTTTCAAGCATTTTTAGATGATACTAATTGTCTGGATTCATCTTTGGATTAGTTTTTAGACAGAAATTATTGGTTTCCCTTAGGTAAGAAGATGGCAAATATCACCTAGTTGGCTCATTTGGATTTCACTAAACTTTTGATACCAGTAAACATAATAACCTGAATTAGCTATTAGGTTTTTTAAAAATCTGTTGCAATCATGGAACTTTTGCCGACTTACAATCTTAATAAAGTGTGATTTTATATAACAAGAGTAATTAAACATGAATAATATGATAAAACAAACAATTAAAAATCAGTAAAATAATAGATGACATCTGTAAGTCTTAAAAGTACTGTTTTAATAATTTCCTGAAGCCAAACAAAGTGGAAACTGATCAGATTTAAGACAGCAGGCTATTCCATAGCATTCAGCACCACCACATAAAAACAGGGGCCTCCTAGTCTGTCAGAAAAGGGAGACCGTTAATAGATTTTCTTGGAAGCTTTGTATTCAGCAAGTTGAAATTGAGTGGAGAACACTCTTGAGACTTTGTAGGCTCTAAAGGTGAAATGAGCACTTTGAATTGCATACAAGAATTAATTGGAAGCCAATTAAGGTCTCAAAGCACAAATGTAACGTGTTCATGTTGGCAAGTACCTGCTAAACACTGTGCTGCTGGTCATGTTATTGGTATGTAGATGATATTAACTGTTTTACTTAATCTGAGAGGGCAGTAGGTGATCTACATTGAGCAAGTTAACAGACTAGGGGAGGGCTAAAAACTAAAGTTTACTTTTTGTCACAAGGAGACAGTAATCTAAAGGTGATTACTTTGCCTAGATGGTTAACCTAGTGGTGGTTAATCTATTCTGGCAGTGGGAGAAGTTAAATTTCCTCCAAAATTCAAATGTGCAACTTGGATTATTCCTGGATTTATGCTATCACTGAAGGCACAAGTTGCCTCAGTGATTAGAAGCTCCCAGTTATCAGCTTTGGTTAATTTACCAGTTGCAGCCTATATCTCAAGGGGGGGTGGGGGGGCATTTTCTAGTTGGATTATTGAAATGTGTTGTATATAAGGGTACCTCCTGAAAAAAGTTTGGGATCTTCAGAGGCTAGAATAGGCATTAGATATTGGCCTTATATTTTAACCGGTATTTATTGATACAATCATGAGGTGTACCTTAATAGTTGCACTGGCTTCCAGTCTTTTCCAGCCCTATGCAAATATGAGGCCAATATCTAATGTCTGTCTCTTACCTAGTGTCTACCTAGAGTGAATGATCATCAGGGAGAGCTTTCTAAGCTAGGTTATGCCTTCTGTGAATGCACTCTTCAAAGGAGCCTTGCTTAGTGCCCATATTTCAACAGTTAGCAAATAATTTATCTTTTTCTAGATACTTAACACAAGAAATTGTAGACTTAGTTTTATGTCAGATAGCTATTTTCTGTCTGCTGTGTTCTATATCCTAGGGTGGGATTCTCATTTTTAATGTTTTAACATAGTTTGGCTTTTATATACATGTATGTTTTGTCAGTTACTGAAATAAATTTGTTATTAAGGAAAGTAAAAATAAAATGGACAGTATATTTGCTAAATGGAAGTATGTAAGTATCAAATATGTTTAACACAATTTCTTTTGCAGTTTCACATGCCTTATTATCGAAAAAAAATGGTATGGGAGATTCTTCATCAGCAGTTGCTTTGATGCCAGACCGCTGTTATGATTCATGTGCTATAAAACACCATCCAGTTATACAGTTGACTTGTACCCATTTAAAGGCAAAGGTTTGAAATACCCTCTTCTGGCTAAGTTCCATTTCAGAGATGGGAGTTATCCAGAAGTATAGTAGAAGCTTTTCATTGAAGCTTGCTTTCTTGAAGTTTTCTTTCCAAGAAAAAAATATGGCAGCAGGCAGGAATAAAAAAAGTATTTTTAAGTAGACTAATGCTGAGTTTTTGGATGAATATGACCTATGTGACATATAAAAAAGAAATATACATATATTGCAATTTTCCAAAGAATGCCAGGTTGTCTATGGTTTCAATGCCCTGATTGGATTCAAACTTAGTACTGCTTATAAGTAATGCAATTGTAATTGTAGCTGATTTTATCCCATTAATTTTAACTGATCTACTCAAACCAAAATACAATTAGGACTCGCCCTTTGATTATAAGCAAAAAGCATGCCTTTTGAGTTTTATTTTTGAAGTTTTATTGTATACTTCTGTTGGGAGATTTGGTCTGGAATCTATGACTGTATTTTGCAAGCAGTGAAAGGAGTGTGCTTACCCATAGTATGTTCCTGAGTTTATATTTTCATATAACTGGATCTTAGTGATGCTGAAAAATGGAAAATTCTGTTTGATTTGTAACAAATCCATTGTAAAAACCCTAGGTGGGAATTATTCTTTATTTAAAAATTAAACTGTTGTATGAGACTATTTATTTGTATTCTTGAATGTGTTGGATATATGTTGGAATTTCAAGATAGTTTAACTAAAATGGAAATAAACATCTAGTAAAAATGATATAATTGATGTGACTTTCATTGCCTTTTCTGTTTAGAACTGAAATAACTATTTTTCAACTGTGTTATTCTGCAATGTAATATGGATGAGGAACAGCAAGATTAATGATTTTCTGTTCCGCAATGACAATCCTAATTCCTTCGTTACTGTCAAGATTTTTAGGCACAATGTTAGGCTACTCACTTTAGAGCTGAGGCAGAGAAAAACAAGCATTCTTATGCCACATAAAGGAAGCTTTCTTTTAACAAACAGCCTATCGTGGAATTATGCTGTAACATATAATTGCGGGCCCGTTATTTACTGTTTTCAGAGCCTAATCACAGCAACCTCTTTGTAAAGTAATAAACCATAATTATTGCTGCTTTCCATTGTTTTGCAAAGTACAGGTAGCCCTCAGTCTACGACCACAATCGAGTCCAGAATTTGTCGCTATGTGAGATATTTGTTGTGAGTTTTGACCCATTGTATGACTTTTCTTGCTACATTTGTTAAATGAATCGCTGCAGTTGTTAATTACTAACATGGTTATGAAGTGAAACTGGCTTCCCCATTGACTTGGCTTGTCAGAAATTCACAAAAGATGCTCCCATGACCCCGGGACACTGCAACCATCATAAATATGAATCAGTTGTCAAGTATCCAAATGTAAATCACGTGACCATGGGGATGCTGCGATTGGTCATATGTGTGAAAAATGGTCATAAGTCACTTTTTCAGTACCATTGTAAGTTTGGTCACTAAATGAACTGTTCTATGTTGGGGACTACCTGTAATATTACTGCCCAGTTTTCTATTATTCTATGTATAGAAGGCTAGTTTTGTTGGGAGTGAGGAAGCAGACCCATGAAACTGTCTTTGCAGATCAGAAGTTAGAATTCTGCAAATTCTTGGGTAAATGGGTGTTTCTAGCTTTGAGTACCAGCTTGAATCTCCTATCTTTATGCTCTAGACTGGGAAGTTTCAAGCAAGAAAACTGAATTAAATTCAGGACAATTAAATGGAGGAAAGGGCTAGAATAGAATTTGGAGCATTGAAGGCCTTTCATGAGATCATTATTTCTAAGACCTTGGACACTAAGTCTTTTCAATGAAAGGATAAAAAGCAAGAGAGCCCTGTGGTTGGTTGTGGGGGGGACAATCCTGCAACAATCCAATTGGAGCCCAGCGGGTTGTTGTCTCCTCTCAGGTGGCTCTATAGGACAGAATGCAGATGGCCTTCAGGTTGCCTCAGCAGCAGGAAGCAGGCAGGCAGGCAGGCAACAAGTTGGAGGCTCTGTTGAGAGAATATACCCTCTTAATGTGTGAGGATCTTTCTTGGACCCAGAATAATGAGATTTGGGGATGAGCTAATGGAAAATTGTTCACCTTTGGCTCTGCTTCATTTATAAGAAGCTCCCAATAGGACCAAGTTTAGCTCTACAAAGGAAAACATGTATCTTTCAAAATGCCCAGTTAATTCTGTACAACAGGCTCTCAAACTCTCCCTAACCCACAACCCACTAAAATGATAACAAATATGATCATCCATGAATAAAATATATTATTTCACTGTGGTTATACTTGGGCAGAAAATCTTCATTTCTTGCTTTCAATTATTATATTTTATTCTATATATCAAGGAGTGCTCCAACTTTGTGGTACTGCATCTGCCTGCTTGTGGCTTCAAAAGGCTGAAGTAATTTTTGACAATGCTCTTTGTTTTCACAAGCCTGATCAGATTTTAAAAGCAACTGTGACCTAAATTGGCTATGATTTCCAGGCGTCCTGACCAACTGTTGAGAACCTCTGTTGTAAGGTATTAGCTGTCTGTAAATTTTATCTTAGAACAAGGCTCCTCAAACTTGGCAAGTTTAAGACTTGTGGACTTCAACTCCCAGAATTCCTGAGCTAACATAACTGGAGGAGGAATTCTGGGAGTCCACAAGTCTTAAAGCTGTCAAGTTTGAAGTCCCGTCTTAGAAAATATTTTTCCTATTACAGTAACTATCCAGATAACACAGAAAATGTTTTAAGTGATCAGATCATCTTGGTTTAATCCTATGTCTTTCATTTTACTTGTAAAGGCTTTGTTAAATGTCTCCTCAAATTTCGGATGAAAAATGTGTTTTTGAAGCCCGTAGAAGTGGCATCTTAGTTAAAAAGACCCTCCTTTCAGTGTTTGCCTTCAAACAATGGCTGGACATAATAAATTAGGAGGGATGCTTTAAACTGGATTGTTCCACTGATATGTTGGTTTTATGGCTGAAATAGCATTTCCATCTGATTTGATGTTGCCACTATAATTTACATGAATCTGAGTCAGGTAGTTGTACAAAACACATCTTTGTCTCTGTTCCACCCGTTGACCTCACAAGACCACAAAAGGTTCTTTAATTAAAAGCAAGGGAAGATATAGATTAGAGAGAGGAAGGGTTGCACCCCATCTATTTTCCAACTTTGTAGTTAAATAAAACTACAGAGGTCAGGTCTTGTTAGCTGGATGTATTTTGGTTTTTTTGTTTGCTTTTCCACAAAACACTGTTTAAAGTAGAGAAAACTGGTTTTCAATCCGATGGTACAATGGCATGTTCTCAACCAGTATAACATCCATCTGTTAGCACAGAAAAACTTTAATAGTGTATTTAACCTGTCAAACTCAGGAGTTCTGCTCCAGTGTCTCTTGCACTTCTATTTTTATTACTATGTTTGAAGGTTATTGACTCACATCTAGCAGAAGAATAATACAGAATAATCATCATACAGAATGATGTTTTCTTCCACCTGGCAGCTGTCTTTTGTCTAAATTTATTTCCAACTCAGTTTTATTAAAAAAATAAAAAAATGCTCCAACTCTCAGTTTTACAAGGCATACAAAATCTCAAAAAGGGACACACAAGAGCAAGGTGCTGAGGTATGAAAACACCTGAGGTAGTTTGTTTCTTTTTCTTTTTTGAAAAAAGTTGCAATTTTCATGCCCTGGGCCAACACCCTCTTGTTAATCCCATTTTAAAAATCCATTTCCCAAAGTATTGGTGGCAGCATTCTGCATGCAAAAGTACCAAGTGTGCTCTATTTTCCTGTAAGCAGGGTAAAAGTTTTTCCCCTCCCCCACCCTTTCAGGAAACGGATATAAAGCTTGGCATTTTGTATATGTCTGAGCATATATAACACATACACACATACACTGTGTGTGTATGTATGTATGCATGTATATATACATGCACACTTGCGCATGTACTTGGAGGATTGCACCCTGGTACAAAATGAGAGACTGTATGCAAAAACCAGTTTGAGATCTGTGAAGCAAAGAGAAGATCACATGAGCTGGAGAAAGAAATGCATAGAGATTCCTCTGCTAACTAGACGGTATCCCTTCTGTTGGCACTTACAGGCAATCTATGATGGTGTGCTGCTACCATTAATCATCCTGAAGTCCTTCAAAGTATTGTTCACCTTTGAGTCTCGTTTCAATTTTGTTCTGGCTATCCTTTGACCCCATCCAACTTTCTGTTAGAAACCCATAACGGACTAGCCTTTTAATTTTAGTGTAGAAAAGCTGGCTTTTTCTAAAAAAAATGTAATTGTTAAAAAAATTAAAGACTGGAGTTAGTTTAGTTAGCTAGATTAATTCTAAAATATATTAATGCTATCTGGTGCAGCAGCTCATGCACTGTGTAAAAAAAATGCTTTCCTAGTATGTACATACATGTACAGAAAAATTTTGCAAAATTTCTGCCTATGTTAGTCCAACTAAAGGGATAGCGTTGTACTGTTAGAGAGACTCCATGGAGACTATGGGGTGAGAGAGGCAGTTCCTGCTGGCTGAAGCCCATCCCTTCCCAGTCCCTGGGTACTGGTGTCCTCTATAGAGCCCCAGCCTCTTGGGCAGACTTGGATGCCGTCAGATAGTCTTTGGTTTGCTCCCTGGTCTGGTGATTCTATCAGGTGTTGGAAGGGCTACATTCATCAGTTGTTGCTGGCCAGCACTCTGCAGCCTCATTTGCTGCGCTGTGAGGCCTGGGTGCCTTGTGGATGTTTCTGTTCCTGCTGTTTCACTTGCTGAACAATTTCCCTGATCTTGCGCTGAGCAGTCTGTAATAGGGAGAAAGGGAGAAATGTAAACATTACTTTAGCAGAAAATTACAATTATCTCCTAAAGAATTTATTTTTCCTAAATACCAACTAATACATAAGTATTTGCGAAGTATTTTAGGATTTATTTTAAAAAATGAGAAACAATATGCATGTATATACTTTGGGGGAACAAGTACAGAACAAAAAGCATCGATGTATGAAGAATTGTGTGACCATTGTTAGGAATGTAAGTCACCTAACAGTTATTTGGGTTGGAAATATATAAACCAGGATACAGATTTTAATACTGTCTCTTTAAGAGAATGCTAAAACTGTAATTGGGTGTGGTTCCGCAAATGGCCAAAAGATGGAGCCAGAAACCTGGGTTGTTTGGAGTCTCTGTTTCTTCTGTTGTTTCTGGAGAGTGTTGTCCTTCCTCCTAATGACTGTTACTGATTGTTGATGTAAGTCTGTTACTGAACTGTTTTTGATACTGGACTTTGATATTTGGATTATCCCTGAACTGAAAACTGACTGCTTTACCTGTGAATGACTTGGACTGCTAATCTTGGACTTTGCTTAAACGTTTATTGGAAGTAAAAACCTACATTTTACTATACAGTGTATCTGTGTGCTGTTTGTGTGTTATTCTTCACCACTCTCACTACGTCTCCCTGTATGTGCTCATTCTCCTAACGGGGAATTACCTCAACAACTATGCTGTAAGCAGAGTTGGCTCGCAATAATAGGAATGGATGGAGAGGTATAGCAAATGGTGTTGCTGCAAATGAGATTTAGTTTTCTTGTTTTCTTTTGGCTCTTTGTCCTCAAAGAAAATAGCCAATTGCAATTAGCAGAAGTGCCTGTAGGGCATTTTCTGGAGTGAGGTAGAAGATGTTGATGAAGATGAGCATGACTGCTTCCACCGTACACATAAACCTGTGA